GCAGGGGGCCATCAATGAGAAGTATATGTTCTTCTGCATCGCCCTCTATGAGATCGTCCGCCAGGACCTGCTCAGCGACCCGGTCCTCCACCCAACGGCGCAGGGACGCAGCCTGGCCCCTGGCTGGCACCTCACCCAGACCCTAGGCCCGATCTATCTGCTGCAGGAGGTTCATGAGGATCAGTTGCGGCGAATGCAGGGCGTGCCCCCCAATGAGGGGCATGGGTTCCGCACAGCCTCCAAGCAACTCATCGCTCTTACTCGGTGCTGGGGTTGGAACAAGGGATGGAAGTCTGATCCGTCCACTAAAGCCAACAACGATGCCATCCTTCGTGGACTCCCTACTGCACTCCACGCAGCACAGGAGGCTGGCAACGCCGCGACCCGGCGAGGCAACGCCTCCACGACTCCGGTCCCCACTGAAGCCACCATTCAGGCCCATGTGCTTGAAGCTCTCGACACCAGCCTTCTTGATCGGATTGTGCAGCTTATCGAAAAGTGGCCGCAGTTCTATGGAGAACTCACCAAGCAGCAAGTCCAGGAGCTCATCCCGCGCGGTCTTGGCATAGCCATTTCAGAGCATGGTGACACTTTGTGCTGTGTCTTCTGTGCGGGCAAATCTGGCGGGCCCTGCATGTTCCACACCTCTCAGGGCCTACTGCCGCACTTTCTGCGGACACGTGGCAGCGGTGCTACATGGCATCACGCGGGGGAAGAGGCCTATGCCAGGGCTACCGCTGGGCGCTCAGGTCAGGCCGCTGCGGCGGCCTCCTCCTCAGATACCGGCAATCAACAGCCCAACGAGCCTGCCTCCCCGCCGCCATACGTCGCACCGCGACCAGCCATCCTTGATGCACCGCATCGTCATGAAGCTCCTCCTCAAGAGCCAGAAAACACTCCTCCCACAATGGAGGAACTCTGTGCCGAGAAGGACTTCTACGACTGGGTGGTGGCAGTAGCGGACCTCCAGTCACTGACGGCTCCTGAAGTAGTGGGTGTTCTTCAGCCCCAGGAGTTCACAGCGATATGGAATGCCCGACTTCAGGTCTTGACCAAGCTGCCAACCGTGCTTGCCGGCCTTAGCAGGGTTTACCAAAAACCTGAAGCTGATCGAAAAGACCTCAGCTGGCGCTCTGTGATCTCGGGTCGACTTGTTGTCCACTCCTCTGGCCACTTAACGATGGCCACGAAGGACCGTGCTGGTCAAGAGCACATCCACCCCAAGCTCACGACCTGGCTCGGGGGCCTTCAGGCTACCATTAAAAATGGGGTTCCCTACGCTCTCTTCGAGGGCGAGCGTGTGGCTACTCAGGACGAGTTTCGCCTCTTCGCGACGACCCTGCAGACCATCTATGAGGCAGCCACCAAGAAGGCGCACCAACCCTCCCACGTCAATATCATCCAGGCCACGCGTGACAGCCATCCAACCATCAAGATTACGCACGGCCAAGTCCTGGATAGTAAGCTGAACGTGATTCGCAATGTTACTGGCCAGCAGCTTCGTGGTCGCCGCGAAAAACAAGCTGAGCACCGTGAGAACAAAGAGTCCAGGAGGTCGGACCCGTATGGATCTCACGAGCCTCCGCCCGAACAACACTCCAGATCCGCCGGCTCCCAAGACTGGCAAGACTGGCAGGACTGGGAAGAAAATTCCTACAATGCCAGGAACTCTGCCTACCACGGCTACTACCGCTGAGCCATTGCATGCCAGGGCTACTTAGCCAGTCTCACCTTTTGCGGCTGCCGGGCAACGCCCCAGTTGATGCCAGGCACCGCCTGCTGACATCATTGCGCGTTGTTGGTAATAGGCAACTGAAATCTATCTCTTCCTTTCTGCTCAGCTCCTATGCAATACAGGCAACGCCTGCACTGATGTCAGGCAACGTCCTGCTTACAAACCGGGCGTCCTTTGACGAAGCGCTCAGAGACGCGTCAAGCAGCACAGCCTCCGCTAGCGATGCTAGTCTCCCTGAGCGGAATACACATTTTCTTTCAGTCATTCTGCTCTTGCCGCACGAGCCAGGGACCACTCTCTCTCACTCTTTCTAGGGCATGTGGCTCCAGCAGCAAACATAGCCAGGAAGCTCCCAACATCATGTTTCAAACGCGAGACTTTCCGCCGGACCTGTACGCCGTGGCCCTGGAGGAGTACCTCTTGTTACAGGCCATGCATGCCCTGGCCGCTCGACCGCCACGCTTGTCGCTTCCGGCCGAAGCGGGTATGCTATCCTACAACGATCTGCTGCACCTGGCCATTCAGACCTTTGGGCATGAACGGATGCAGGAGTTGTCCTACTACCTTGCACGCCTGCAACCCTGTCTCCCTCGCAGCCTTGACACTCATATGCCCTTTCCGTACGGTGAGTTGGATGCGCGGACCCCAAGCGCTGAAACTCTGTCGTGGCATTTGCTACAAGACGCTCAGTCACCGCTCTGGAATGCTGTGCGCACAGCAGTTCGAGCCTTGACGTGGCGCCCAGGTCGCCAACGCTTCTCTGATGGCAGCGCCAACAATGTCACCTTCGGCGCTTTTGCACGAGGACCTATTGGACTTTGTGCAGACACGGTCCGGTATGGATCCTTCTGTCGACTGCTTAACAGACTGATTGAGCACATCTGCCCGGAGCATAAATGGACTACCTTCTCCTTGAACCTCAACGTCCGTACTCCACCTCATCGAGATCAGTCCAACTCCAAGACGGGCACGTTGCTGCTTAGTCTCTCCCACCACGATGAAGGCTCAGTCTGGGTGGAATCCTGGCAAGGCACCGACTACGAAGAAACTGACTATGGTCTGCTGAGTGGCCGCCCATTTAGCCTGGCCTTTCAGGCACTCATTTTCCCAGCTCACAACCATGTTCACTGTACTCGTGGTTGGAGTCTGACAGATCGTATCACGCTGGCTGCATACAGCATTTCTGACCCTGGCCGGTTGTCGAGTGCGCATAAAGCCACTCTTGTTGATCTCGGTTTTCATCTCCCTTAGGTCTGACAGATCTCTTGAGCCCTCACGCGACGTAGCTTCAGCTAGTTACGTCGGGCAACGCTCGCAGCTCGCATGCAGGCAACGCCTGATACGTCCATGACATTTAATCTTTCATTGGCCTTCCATGGCACGGAGCTTCAGCTCCCGGGGGTGCCGTGACTTTGCCGATGCACTCTGCTCTTGTTCAAAAAAAAAGAAGAGCTGCCTCAGTCAACAGCATATCCGCATTCACGAGCCTGCTCGTTGCTCACTGTGTGTGAGCAAGCCCAACTGCCACATTGAGGCAGCTATGCCATGCTAGATCGGGTTGGACACTGTCTTTCTTCATGAGCCTACGCCAAGGCGTGGGCAGCTTATACTACCTCCATTGGTTGGCCACGGACATTATGCCACTTTGCGACCTTACGGCCCACCGCCTCTGATTGTGAGTGACCATGAGTGGGACGCCACGAAACAGGCACTCCGAGTGACGGCCCGTTGGGTACGGCTCATCAATCATTGGTTCGTGGACATGGGACGCCATAGTCCACACTGAGGGTGACGGAGGGTTTCTCACCCAACTGAGTGACAAGTGACGGCCTCTGAGGTAGCTTGTAGCTTTCAGTTTTGTCTGCTGCTGACTGCCAGCCTCAAGACTCCAGGCCCAGACTCTCTTTACTATGCTCTCAGCTCTTTGCTCAGGTGCAAAGGCAGTTTCACACGCCCGCAATGAGCAGAGCCCGCTCGCTCAGCGTCTAATAAATTGTTGTTGTTGTTGTTGTTGTTGTTGTTGTTGTTGTTGTTGTTGTTGTTGTTGTTGTTGTTGTTGTTGTTGTTGTTGTTGTTGTTGTTGTTGTTGTTGTTGTTGTTGTTGTTGTTGTTGTTGTTGTTGTTGTTGTTGTTGTTGTTGTTGTTGTTGTTGTTGTTGTTGTTGTTGTTGTTGTTGTTGTTGTTGTTGTTGTTGTTGTTGTTGTTGTTGTTGTTGTTGTTGTTGTTGTTGTTGTTGTTGTTGTTGTTGTTGTTGTTGTTGTTGTTGTTGTTGTTGTTGTTGTTGTTGTTGTTGTTGTTGTTATCGTCGTTGTCGTTGTCGTTGTCGTTGCTGTTGTTGTCGTTGTCGTTGTGGTTGTTGTCGTTGTCGTTGTCGTCGTTGTTGTTGTGGTTGTGGTTGTGGTGGTGGTGGTGGTGGTGGTGGTGGTGGTTGGTGGTGGTTGGTGGTGGTGGTGGTGGTTGGTGGTGCGTGGTTGGTGGTTGGTGGTGAGTGGTTGGCGGTTGTTGGTTGGTGGTTGGTGGTTGTTGGTTGGTTGTTGATTGGTCGTGGGTTGGTTGTTGGTTGGTTGGTTTGTTGGTTGGTTGGTTGGTTGGTTGATTAGCTGGTCGGGTGGCTGGCTGGCTGGCTGGCTGGCTGGCTGGTTGGTTGGTTGGTTGGTTGGTTGGTTGGTTGGTTGGTTGGTTGTTGATTGGTGGTTGGTTGGTTTGTAGTTATCGGTTGGTGGTTATCGGTTGGTCGGTTGTTTGTTGGTGGAATGTTGGTTGTCGGTTGGTTGTCGGATGTTGTCGGTTGGTTGTGGCTTGGATGTCGGTTGGTTGTCGGTTGGTTGTCGGTTGGCTGTCGGTTGGCTGTCGGTTGGATGCTGGTTGTTTGTTGTTGGCTGTTGGTTGTTGGTTGGTTGTTGGTTTTCGGTTGGTCGTTGGTTAGTTGTTGGCTGTCCGTTGCTGGTTGTTGGCTGTTGGTTGGTTGTTGGTTGTTGGCCGGTGTTGTTGTTGTTGTTGTTGTTGGTGGTGGTGGTGGTGGTGGTTGTGGTGGTGGCGGTGGTGCCCTTGCCGTCGCATTTGTCCCTGTCGTTGCTTTTGCCGTTGTTTTTGCTGTCGCGATTGCCGTTGCTGTCGCTGCTCCTGCTGCCACTGCTGCTGATGCATTTGTTGTTTGTCTGCTCAGTGCTGTCGTTGCTATCACTGTTTCACTATCTTAATTTCCCTTAAGGCTGGCACATGTACAGCTTGCGACATGTCATTCCGAACTAAAGCTTTCGTGCAGAACAGCAAGCTCGGGGATGGCCTGGATGTGCCGAATGCGCAGACCTGCACAGCCGCTGGGCGTTCGATAGCTATACGCTTCAACAAATCTGAGCACAATGGGACATATCCGCATTACTGGGTCATTGCGAGAAGGTGTGGATTTTACCACGGACTGACGATGAGTATGGCTATGAGATTGTGGTCAGTCTTCTCACTTGACAACACAGATAGTCTGAACTCGCTAACCGTCACAGCATCAGATACGATGCTGAATCATCTTCCAGACACCGGCCAAGCCAATAAATGTGAACAGGACAACGTTTTTTTGGATAGCAGTTGAGTTTCAAAGCTGTGCCAACAATGACTCAACAACGCATCAGATCGTCCCCTCAACTGTTGTGGCAAAACTGACTGAAGTTCCAGTGCAAGGAGAGTAGATCCGGTGGAATGAGGGCACATGTGAGACATGTGGTCGTTGCGTGGAAGGCGATTACAACCGGCGGAGTCAAGCTGAAGAGCAAAGCGCACTGCAGCACCACCGAGACGGTCATTGCAGAGACATGGTGAAAAGATGTTGGCCTACCATGTTAGTACGTGTTGTCGCCTCCGTCTGCTCAGGGGTGGATTTATCAAAAGGTATGTTTCTTCAAGGTCGATTCATGGTGCCACGTCCTCCAATATTTGGTCTTCAGACTTCACTTCGAGCTCAGAGTTCGCGGTAGGAAGCTGGGAGTACTCGCGAGACTGGTGACATTGTAGCTGCCGAGGACAGCGGCAGTCGATGGAAGAAGGGCTGGGTGGAGGCTGCGGTGCTCGGAAGAAGCTAGAACTGAAGAGAAAACAGCTGTGGAAGGTCGTCTAATTCCCAAGTTTCCGGCTTGTGAGCATGGTGGACAGACCTTGCGCGCTTTTCAGAAGTGGATGAACGCAAGTTGGGCTCGCTTCAAGCGCATCAAGCCAGGACCGGCTGGCAAATGACCAGCTTCAAAGCTTCCCCCTTCCGCCCTCCTGCGTTGAAGGTTGGATGCACCCAGGGTGATGCGGTCAGCTGCACCTGCTGGTCTGTTCTTTGGTTCTATATGCCGTGTGCCGGGTGAGTTCAGCCGCTTTGGAGCTTAGGCTCCCTGGTCCTTGGTTGGATTCGGATTCGGGGCTTCGTGATTAAGGCAATGTGGTCCCGAGCCGTGCAGCTGATGTCGCATGTCGCAAACTCGGAGTTCAAATCCCAGGCATGGCGAGTCAACGATTACTGCAAGGCCGGTGCAGGGTGCATTGACAGGTCGGCCCAGGCTGTGCTTGTCAAACTCGATGCCAGGACCGTTGCCGCGTGCATGACCTCGTCTCAAACCTGTATGCGGTGCTGCCGATACACCCATTTACACGTAGAGCCTGGACAAGCCATGCACGATACGCGAGCATGGACACGGAACTCGACAACAAACTTCCAGTGCGAGCTTTAGTAATGCGTTTGGAGGCGGGTCCAAACAACAATGGCTGGGCCGCCACCTTCAAGCCGATCCGCGGAAAGTGCAAGCGCGCCTCGGCGTACTGTGAGCTTACGCGGACCACGGATGCGCCCAGCAGAGAATTTTTTTTGGACCACAGCGACACTTTCTTGCGGCCCTCCCAACTAACCTGTCCTTTGGTCCTCTGTGGTAGCACTGCCTTGCTGGATATGAGGCTTCTCGCCTGGCGGGGGACACAGAATCAAGGCTGGTGGACGCACCCAAATGCAGATTGCCCCATTGGATTGGCTCGCCACAGTCTCCTGCTAGAGGATATGAAGCCATCATGAAGCACAAGGAAATAGCAGCAAGACACACTGCCGAAGCCTGGGAGGTCCACGCTATCTGCTCCATGGAACACGGGCAGCAGTTGGTGTCAAGTGTCACGCTTTCGGGATTCTCTGCACATCCATGCAGGAAGAGCAGCTTAGCCTCCCCTTTTAGCCTCCTCGCGCTGCTCTGCGTAATGACATCTTGCAGCCCCATGAAGCCGGAGCTCCAGCATCAGAGCCGCCACCAAGGAGCGATGCAGCAGTTTCGCAGGATGCCCAGATGGAGACTTGGACGGATTCTCATGAACCCTCTCCAAGTCCAACTCCAGAAAGGAAGTTTCAGTAGTGCCAAACCAACTTAGCTTTCCTTTCACCACTATCCAGCTGAGTGTTGAACATGTTTTGCCCTGCCGTCTCTGGTGTTCTGGCTTCTGGGGTCGCAATGCCCCAAGCTGATCTGCAGCAAGGTTATCATTCCAAGCCGCTGACAACGATCGGTTCCAGTGTGGTGGGCTACTCAGACATACGGTAATGCATCCCTTTGGCAAAATATTGGCACCCTTGATTGGCGTGCCTAAATCATGGGTGCACACCCGCTAAAGCCACTCTCCAGTCTTCTTGGCCAGGATGGTTGCTGTACGCCGGCAGCCTGCCCCGCTGGCTCCACTGGCACAGACGTTCCAAGCATCCTGGACACGATTAGGTTGTGAAAGAGAGAGAGAGAGAGAGAGAGAGAGAGAGAGAGAGAGAGAGAGAGAGAGAGAGAGTAACCCATAGGGGGTCAAACCCCTACACCATAGCCCTGGCGAAAGAAAGAAAGAGTAACCCATATTCAGACGGGCCGCTGGAGCCTTCCAAAATCCGAGAATCCCGCCCCCTGCCTGGGGCTTTGTTCATACGGCTTAAGCCACGAATTCATCGGCCGGTTTTTCCTGTTGCCAAGCGAAGTTAGTGAACGAGTGGCTGCTGATGGGGGTTTGCTTTGACTGTAGATCGTGGGTTTGTGTAGGCGTGAATCAGGCTTAGTTTGCCTTTGTCGCACTTTCACCCTGCTTCCCCAAACAATTGCGGGGGCACGTAGCGCCGGGAAGAGGGTCGCTCCGTCTTCATGTACTCGCGCGAAAAAAGAGAAGGAGTAACCCACCGGCCTCTCCTCTTTCACCCCGCTCGTCGTAGGCCCCTCAACCCAGTGCGCGCATGCGCGCGGGGGGTTGGCGACCGCTACTTCCCTTGGTTGTGTGGAAGAAGAAGAGCAGGTGAGGTTTCCGGCGCGGCGGCAGTTCCTGCGAGACGGTGTGTGAGGGATCAAGGGGTGCAAATGTACAGCGAAACACAGAGGACTTGCCGGAAACCCACATTTCAAATTTTCTTCATTGTGAATGTTTCTTCTTGGTGAAGTTTGCTCTGCTGCTTTGATACAACGGGGCACCGGGGACTCTCCCCACGAGGGCTTACTTGTCAGCACTGCCTTCCTTTCCTCCAGCTTTTCCGACTGTCCCACCCGCTCTCCGTAGCCTAAACAGTGCACGCTCGCGTCCATTCTCACTCCCCGAAACCCAATCAAAAGGCATTGGGTGGGCTTTGAAGCCCGGGGACTTTGAACGGTCCCCATGCCCAGGAGGAAAGAGAGAGAGAGAGAGAGAGAGAGAGAGAGAGAGAGGGAGAGAGAGAGAGAGAGAGAGAGCGCTGAGCGAGCGAGAGGCTCTTTGAGTATCGTTTGAGAGTATACGTGCATCCTTCGTCCTTTATCATATACTTTATGGCTTTAGCCCACTGGATGTACTATTCTCGTTTCTCACTCCCCGATACTCAATCAACGTATTGGGTGGGCTTTGAAGCCCGGGGACTTTGATTTTGATCGGTCCCGAAGCGCAGGAGACAGAGAGAGAGAGAGACAGACAGAGAGAGAGAGGCTCAAGGTGCCTTCCTCCTCGAGAAGTTCATCCGCGAGTACGACTGCTCAGGGGGTGGAACGGGGTGAAGCATCCGGGCTGTGTCCCCGGGTGTGGATCGCCCAGCCACTTCTGAAAGTAGCCTAGAGCCGTTCCTGGCGAAAGGGCGGGAGCGCACGAGCCATTATTCCGTTCAGTACCTGGGCGGAGAGACCAAAACACTACATGGGACGTCGGTGACCGATGTCAGAGTTCAGGCCTTCTACCGGTACCAGCTCCTGCACAGCCCAATGCAGTGCTTGCCATGCTCTATCCGGTGAACTTACACTACCTCTGAGTGCGGGGTGGATTTTGTCAAAGACAGGACTGAGCTTGGCCGACCTTGCGAACGTAGCAGTCCAACTGATACTTGCGCAATGTAGTCGGTCTTGCGTGGTGAGCAACGCAATAGCAGGGACCAAGAGAGCTGAGCGGGATACGGATCCACAGTGCATCAGTACATTTTCCGTGTAACGCGGGCCCCGGCCCTGAAGTTACGCAACCTCCAAGGCACATTTCGTGTGGAAGAAATCCTTGACTTTTCTCAACTTCTCCAAACTTGAGAGAGGCGCTTCACCCAGAACAAACCACCCGAGTCCGAAGCACTGGGACGGCAGCACGTCTTTGCCTTACCCCCGTCGCTTTCCTTTCTTTCTTCGTAGGAGCTGTTTGTGACAGGCCGCACCGTAGCAGCAATAGCCGGTCCCACCGGGTGCATAAAGAACCAGCACGACACCAGTGGCAATGCGAACAGTGCTAGCCTGAACCAACCAGAGCCTGGACGAGGCCAGGAGGTTTGCTAGTTAGTGTACAGGGTTGGGGATGGTGCGGTCCAGAACGGTGCTTCAGTCCAGCTGCGGAGTTTCACAAGAGACGCAAAGACCGGTGCGCGCATGCGCGCGAGGGCTCATAGCCCTTTGTCCGAATGCAAGCAAGAAAGAGCGAAGAAATCATCAAGCCTTCACTCCTTCCTAACAACCCGTAAAAAGAAGGCGGGCGGGCCTCAGTGCCCGGGGGGCTTAACTCGCCCCTTAAGCCTGGAAGAAGAAACGAGGGCCGGGAGACACAGAGAGCGAGAGAGAGAGAGAGAGAGCGAGAGCTTGTAGTGTGAGTCGCGGAAGTCTGAGCAGGAAATAACCCAGCTACTCGAGCTTTGGTTGGCTTGTGTTGCGAGTCGGGTGGGAGACATTCCCGACGTATTCCCATACCTCGTACAGCCGAGCCCCTCCAGCGAAGAGGGGGAACAAAACGGACGTTTTGCGAGAAGCGGGTGTACGTGCGCGCACGAGGGGAGCGACCTGGACGCTGTCGCGACCCTCACGCCCGGTAGAGAGAGAGAGAGAGAGAGAGAGAGAGGGAGAGGGAGAGAGAGAGAGAGAGAGAGAGAGGGGAGAGGGGGGGGGAAGGACTCAGGGCACGGATATTTGGAGGGGACCAAGCAGCTTGCAAATTTCTGCAGGTGGCTGCACATGCTCGGCAGGCGGGGCGAGTCGTCAGCAGCCACGGCAGATAGATAGAGGGCATGCAATTTGAGGGACTGCTCTGAGATGGGCATAGATGAACTCGGCGCTGGCATGCGAAGAATTGAAACTGGTGCCACAACACTAGGAGCGTGCCTCCAACTTACACCTGAAGGCTACACTGGCTCCATTGCTGTCAGCGGCAAGTCTCCATTCTACACAGGCGCATGCAGCGCTGCAAGGTCCAGATTCAGTTTTGAGCCTGGTTTCACAGTGTCTTCTCGTGATCTCTCCTTGAAGCACGGAATTCCTTGCATGCCTCGTGCAGCGTCAGGCAGCTGCGCAGCTGTGGATTGCCCGGATAACTCCGAGGGCAGCAACGTGCCGGGTGGCTGTGCATGCAAAGCAGGCCCAGGGGCACACGGCCGGAAGGATCCGGAAGGACCCAGAAGGACAAAGTATCATGATGGCCTCTCGGCCCTCTCTTCGCCAGGCTACTCTGGCAAAATCACGGCTACGAGCTCTTCTCCCTTCTACAGCGGCACCTGCGTTGCGACCTGTGCGCTCTTCACCTGCCCGAAAGGCCATTTTAGTGATTGCAATGCCGTTGCAGGGTGCAAGCCTGGGAGTGAAAGAAGAATGCGCGAGGCTACAAGCCCAAAGCCAGCACCACAGTGGCGAACTCTCTCAGCGGCTGCTGCGAGCCAGTGGATTGCCCTGCAGGATCGTCCGCATGTTCGCCGGGGGATGCTACAAACCTCTGCACTTGCCCAAATGAGGATCCACCGGCACTGCCGTCCATAGCGGTTGCAGCTGTGATGCTGGCCACTCCGGCACCATCAGCCGGAGCCCCGATGCTGATGCTTAAGCGAGGCAAACCCTGTATCACACCGCAGCCTGAGCCAACATGGACTGCGTGGATGTTCAACGTTTCCCCTGAATGCAGCCTCTGACTCTTGAAGGTGCAACAAGCTCCGCTCCGTATTTCTCCGGGCCAGCGCCCCAAGCAAGGGGTCGACTGCCGTATCTCGGGGTGAGGAATTCGGTTGCACGAGATGCCCGGCTCGCAGGCTCAGTGAGTAGAGGATCTGAGCTGTTAAATCGGAACCTGGAGGATCTGGAGGTCCCTCCGTCCCACCATCCCACCATCTCCCCTCAACCCGCTCAGGACGTGCTCAACTGTGGCGTGCCCTGACAACTCTGAAGGGGCTCACGCTACTCGGCCAGTCTTTTCCAAAGCCCTTTCTTCAAGAGATTCCATGAGCCGTAGGTGCCGTCGGGCTGCACCTGCAACGCTGGCTATTCCGGCACCATCAAGGCTTTTCATGCATCATGTTGCACTGGGAGATTCGATTTCAGAAGAAGGTCTTGATGTCTGAGCCATCTGCTCGTGTCTGTGTGTTGATTGTGCCGTGCAAGGCCAGCAAGGCGTCCCCTTTTTACACGGGATCCTGCGCAGCGGTCGCGTGTCCAGCAGACTCTTCGGGCAAGGCATCTCGGTGGGGCGATTTTGCCGATGCGAGTGCTCATGGTTCTCTTCTGCCTGTGAAAATCACCACCATGATTGCGATCATTTGCATGTAGATAGACTGCGCTCAGCAGCCCACAGGACGTGCCCAGCGGCTGCAGCTGCAATGTCGGCTTCTCCGGCAAGATCAAGTCATCGGCGACGCATCTCGGATCCATGTATCCACTATGGTGGCATGACTGCATGACGGTCAAGAGCCCAGACACCGTCATACGATTTACTTCGCCTTTCGGGTTCTTAGTGTGTCTACATCGCAGCGCTGCCATGCGGTTTCGGAACACTCTCGTCACCATTCCCGGTGAGGTCGCCATTCTACACGGGCAAATGCGCAGCCGTGGACTGCCCTGCTCACTCTTCCGGCAGCAACGTACCTGCGGGCTGCGCCTGCGACGCCGGGCGACTAGGCCGAATAAATGCCGGGAGAGGCTGAGTCGGCTGCAACGATCTCTACTGCATATCGTATCGTAGGCTGGTCATGGAATGCACTGTGACTGCCTAGACAGCGCATTTTGTGAGACGGGTCATGCCGCTGCAGGCACGGGCGGTTCCCAAGCACCCACCTCCCCCCGTCCCCTTCATTTGGGGACACGGTGTTGTGGCAGCTTGTGTTGGTGTTCCTTCCAAGCTCGCCAAGCATGTCTCCAATCCGCAAGAAAGGCGATGCCGAAACCGAAATCGGATTTGCAGTCTGCCACTCCGCAGCCGCAAGCCAATAACTGAGCCCTTCCACATGAGCACTCAGGTTCCTGACGAATTACGAATGGCCTGGAACTGGTAGGCCTTTAGTCTCAAAGCGCCTGGTCGCAGCTTCGAAGCTCAGAGAAAATCTCTGAGGTTCAAGGGATCCATCGCGGCAGTGCCTGGCCTCAACAAGTTGTGGAGGATTAAAGGAGCATTTTGCCCGGATGCGCCACATGTCTAGGTGTGTGAGACCGTGGGGAGGCTAAGACCGCCAAGTCGCAAGACCCCTGTCGTTGTCACTTCTCACGGCTTTCATTCAGATTCTGGTTGGCTTTGAGGGAGCCATGCTGACCACTCCCCAGGCTGCAGCAAGCCCGTTCTACAGCGGCAAGTGCGAGGCAGTCGCGTGCCCCAAGCACTCCGCAGGACTGCAAAGACTGCAGAGGCTGCAGAGCTCTCCGCTCTGTGACGGCTATGACCACCAGTTGATTGGTGTAACATGCCGCAACTTCTTTAGAATCTATGCCGATGTGACCACTCCGCCAAAAGAGTGTTGCAGTCAGGAACTGACGTTCCTAGCGGCTGCAAATGCAAGAACGGCTCCTTTTTTGCAGCTGGGTGCGTTTCTCGATATTTCGCGGTAACTTTCACATGGAGTGTGAGTAAGCTTTCTTCCAGTCCGGTCCAACTTGTGCAGTTCATTGACGTTTACCGGAGTTCTTAGGACCAAAGCACCTGGACAGGCTTCAGCTTTTGCCTAGGACAGGACATCGACATTTAGACAGCCGGATGTTGTGTGGTGCAGTTTCAACATTGTTTCGAAGTTGCACAACCGAGGCTACAAGGGTCAGATCAAAGGAGCAACGGCTGCTTTGCCAGCAATGGGCCCCCATAAGTTCTCAATGAGATCCCGAGCCCTTGTGACTGGCGATGCTTCGGAAATCACTCAGACGTGATCTTTGACGCTCCGTCTGGCTGGATAAACAAGAGGCTTCGCCGTTCTTCACCGGCAAATGCACACCAGTGGGCTGCCCGGACAATACCGAAGGCCTCGGATGCCCGGCGAACGAAGCAATTCAAGGAGTGTGTTGTCTACAGTAGCTGTTCTTGCTCGGATGCTTGTGTCTCAGCTTTTTGGTGAGCCTCCTTCAAAAACATGACCAGGCAACAATGTGCCTGGGGGATGCGACTGCCTCGCAGGCAAGGTTCCAAGCTGTCAGTTGCGCACCCACCCGGAATTGAGCAAGTAGGGCAGGACGCTGGTTCCACCCTTCCAAACTTGCTGTTGCAACATGGGACGAGCTTGCAAATTAAAGCAGCGTTTTTGCAGTGTCCTTGAGCAGACATGTTCATGATCCTTGACGGCCATGCGGGTCTTAGTTTGCAGTCTCGAAAATCAACCTGTGCAACCTGCGAGGCTTTTCCGGAGAAATCGAGGGCGATGATTCGAGGCGACCAATTTCATGACAATCACTCACTCTCTCCCTCTCCCTCCGTCGCTCGCTCTCTCTCTCTTCTCTCCCTCCCCCTCTCCCGGTTTGAGCTCTTTTCCTGCTAGACCCGATTTACTCCATCACAGGCCCTGGTACACCGGCAAGTGCGAAGCGCAAGCCTGCCCTGCGGGCTCTTCCGGCGACTCGTCTTCGAGCTAAGGGCGGTCGCAATTCAAAAAAGGCAGCCGTTCGAACGTGGAGTCAACAGCTTGCTTGGGACTCGAGCGAGGCACAGACCTTCCCACTGGCTGCACCTGTGATGCTGGCTACTCCGGGAGTGTCACGGCCGTGCTTCTTGACTTGTCCATGAGTCTGTTGTAGCGAGTCCTTTAGTCGACATAAATGCACGTCTCCACGCTCCGAGGAGCGAGGAGCGGGAAGAAATATCAGTGAGAGTGCAACACCCTGCGAAAGATCCCGAGACAAGCGCTGAAATCAGTCAGCCTAGGAAGACCTCGCCCTTCTACAGCGGTGGCTGCACAGCCGTGCCTCGACCAGTTGTCTTCGCTCGGGCCGGCTTACTGTGACGTATCCAAGTTGCACAGGTGAGCTGCCCAGCCAATTCCAAGGGCAGCAACGCCGCTGTGATGCAGATAGCTTGGCGCAAGCGCGGGGCAAAGCGGGGTATGGCAGGTCCCGTCTGGATGTACTTGCAACGCTGGCTACGTCGGCAGCATCAGTGCCACCAGCAGCCCCACAGCCGCAAGGGGTAAATAAAGCTCGGTTCTGACCAGGTAAGTGTTATCGTACATGGGCGATGTGGCAATTGCATGAAGCTTACAGTTGGAGCCCTTCTGACGATTTTTGCTTTCTTCCTCTACATATTTCTGAACTCGATCTTGTCAGGCTCGCCGTTCTACTCCGGCTCATGCGTTGCCACCTGCAGCCACTTCGAAGCAGCTTCTACATTCTAGGATTCTAGCTGACAAGTTGCCGTTTTTGAATGGTGCGGAGCATAGGCATGGTGTCTTCGCAAGTATCCTCCAAGTTGTTGCTTGTCTCGAGGCCTCTTCAGCTGCCCCAAGGGCTACCAGCCCAAAGCCGGCAGCACCGTCGGAAACGACCTAGCCACCTGGCTCAGGCAATGCGGACAGGCACAATACATCGTGCCCCCACCACCCCACCACCCCACCACCCCACCACCCCACCACCCCACCACCCCACCACCCCACCACCCCACCACCCCACCACCCCACCACCCCACCACCCCACCACCCCACCACCCCACCCACCCCACTCACCACCTGCCAAAAGCTCCGTTAATCCTGCTGGTTTGCTTGATATGAATCTGAAGAGTGAACATCAGTGTCCGGTATACAGATGCACATGAAGTAGATTCCGTGAGATATATGAACTGTCAGGTACGAAGCCTTAGATCTAGAGACACGAGAGCATACAGGATGTAAGCATGTACTTAAGGACGGATCTCGCATGGCAGACAGGCAAGCAAGCAACGAGGCAAACATGCAGGGATGGGAAGATGCCTTGAGCTCGTGCCTCCGAGGCCGCTTGCTGCGATGCGGTGGCATGCCCCGCGAAGTCCACGGGCAAGGACTCGACAGAATATTCGTCGCTAGATGCTTCCAAGGCAGCTTCGAATCATTCTTTTCTTGCGTTCTCTGAGAGCACTCCTTGCCGGCCGCTTGCCACCTCCCAGGATGTGCCGACGGGCTGTGCATGCAACGGCGGCTATCAGGGGTCCGCCGGCAACTTTTTTTGTGGGTGAATGTTTTGGGTCGCGGTTGAGTTGAGGCTCTGACCGTGTTAATGGCAACATAGACGTCGGGGTGCTTGAATCCGAGTCGCGCTGTTGTTGCTGCCAAAGCGCTTGGCAGGACGATTGAAGCCACGACGAAGGACCGCAGCGGCTTTCAAAGTCAGATTTTCGTTGCATGGCTTTTGTTGAGCTTTGCATGAGAGGCTCCCTTCTACTCCGGCAGCTGCGAAGCCGTGGCTTGCCCCGCACGTTCCACGGGCACCTCAATTCCAGATGGATGCACGTGCAAAGCAGGCACGAGGGAATGGTGTGCAGGGGTGCTGTAATCCTGAACGACTCGACGGCTGCAGCTCCTGGATTTGCCTCATCCTGTTGATCCGTAATGGGGCCTGATGGGAGGCCTGTCCTATGAATGGCCCGCCCTCAAGAGGTCGCAGCGCATCGCATGACTTGCTGAATTCAGTCCGGAAAGAATTCGTCCACACCAGAAGCACCAAAAGCCGTGATTCATGGCTGACAATGCAGTTGCCCCGCAAACGCGTTACAGTACTGCGTTGAGAGCTTCGAGGCCCCTTAACTCCAGAACCACATCCAAGCAAGCATCGTGGTCGCAGGGTACAGCGGAAGCATCTCCACTGCGACGAGCTCGCCCTACTTCACCGGCGAATGCAAGGCAGGGGGCCACGCTTAGTGCCACGCTTCAAGGCTTCCCGGCTGATGTAGGAACCATTTGCAAAACATCGCCGAGCTGCGGACATGTCGTGCTTCAGTTCGCGAGTGATAGGAGGCCTTTGATTGAAAAAACCCTGGCAGCACGTGGACTGCCCGGCGAAGTCCAGTGGACGCAACGCGCGCCCGGCAAGTTTTCTCAGTTGCCGGAGTTTCATCGGGGAGGGAGCAGGCGTTGAAAGCCGTGGCAGTTGTGGACGTGGAACAGGGAACCCCACACCAAAACCTCGCAAGCCACTAAACCTCCAAACACCACAGACCTTTTTGATCCCTAAACCGTTGACTCCTGTACCAGGTCGTCAAGGGCTGCGCTTGTGATGCGGGCTTCTCCGGCAAAGTCACGGCCACCAAAAGTGCACCGCGGCCCGGCCGGCAATGGGACGCAGCGGTGTCTGGGGTTCTATGCTTTGCCCGATTCAATCAACGGCACAGTTCTGCTACTTGTAGCTCCTTTCTGCAGATCTGTGGGATCCTCCAGTTGCTGTTGCCATCCCATAATCTTTGCTTCTCCAGACTCCTGTCAGTGCGGCTTCGAGATGTTCTCAGCAGTGGCCTCTCAGGTTCTACCACAGCACCTGCGAGGCTGTGGCTTGCCCTGCCTTCTCCACGGGCAAGGACGTCGCACCGCACCCGAAGCCACCCTCAACGGAGCAGCTCGGCCCCGCCCAAAGAAGCTGCCAAGAAGCGTCGCTCTGAAGAGAGGATGTCGCCTCCGGCTGCACCTGTGACGCAGGCTCCTTCGGCGCTTCCGAGTGTGAGTGCTTTCTTACTGTAGTGACAGGCTGCCTGTGGCAGGGCGCGCTATCCGTCCTTTTGGCCTCGGAACTGAGGCTATTCTGGCACCATCACCGCATCCAGCGCTTCGCCTTTCTACACTGGAGCCTGCCGACCCGTAGTCCGACGGCAATCGGTTTTACTCCTTCAAAGAAAGGCCTTCGGTCCTTTATCGCCTCCTCTCGTGAGGTCGAATGCCCGGCCCACTCCACGGGAACAGTGCCAAGGGGCTGCAAGTGCCTCTCGACAACAACGAGAGTTGTATGAAGCCGAGGTATCGTGGTCCTCGTCATTGTTGCCTCAAGCCCTTCCCTTCACCCAGGTCATGCCGGCTACTCCGGCACCATCTCGGCCACCTCTGCGGCGCCTTTCTACAGCGGCAGCTGCCAGCCAGTAGCATGCCCTGCCGACTCAACAGGCAAGCTACACAGCCTTCCTTTACCAGCAGCAGTCGCCACGCTTGTAGCTTCAGACACTGTTGTACCCCGTGCGGGTAATGGGGCAGTGCTGTCTTGTCCGGACTCAATTGTGTTTTTGCAAGCGAGCCTGGAAGAGGAACCAACGTACCGAGCGGCTGCGTGTGCAATGCCGGTTACGCAACTTGGCGTGGGGTTTTGGCCGGGGTGTAGCAGAATTCAACCCAAGATCAAGAAGTCTCAGCGCTGCTGTAATCGGCCACATGAAGCTCGTGACGAATAGAGCCCGGCCGCGCATCCAAGGGGGGCAAGATCACCGCGTCTTCGCAGCTGGGCCAAGAGTCCGTGTCAATGCGAGTATGAGGAAGTTCCACTCGGAATGAAGATTTAGAATTCACCGCGAACGTTAGCGGTATGCGCTTCAGGTACCCTGCCTTGTTCAGCTTCAGAGGGGTTCAAGTCCCGACTCCCCAATGTGCTACCTTGGTTCTCAGGCTCAGGGAAAGCAAATCCCACGCAAAAGCAACTCGTGACGTGAAAGAACTCAGGGGCACTGCAGTCCGACAGAAATGCCTCCTCCGGCTTCCTCCGTCCGAAATCCGCAACAAGTGAAACGGGTTCAGAAAGCACACCCAGACGCAGACGCAAACCCCCCCTCAGGGCCCACATTTTCGTAAACAGCCGCTGCCTTGCTGCCCTTGCTGCCCCATGGCGGCGTCCCTGTGGCTGCAAGCGCTGCTGTTCGGGCTCTTCTCTGCGCCTCTCGGAGCATCGAGACTACGAGGTCATTGAAGGTTGTGTTCGGAACAGGACGACACTAGCTCTATAGCATGGGATTATCAGTGCTATGTTGCCATGCTGGATACCGAGCCAGCCTTTTGAGACGCCTGGGGTGTCGCGGATCTCGGGGAACCTCTTTGCTCGTTCCCCGACAGGGCTGAGAGCCCCCTTACAAAGACAAGTGTGGATCGGGAAGTACGAAAAAATTCCTACCGAGCCGTCTCGGGCTTCGTGTTGAAATTCAGTCGGGTTGGTTTTGTTCCTAGCACGAAGTCGTGGGAAGCCAGTCCGAAGGCTCTCGCTGCCGCTCGGTGCTCTGCTAGGCATTGCCTTGGCACCCGCAGGAGCCCCGGAGGTTCTGGACGGCTTAGGGTCTGAGTCTGAGTGTTGTAATGCCTTTCTGCTTTTTTTTTGCCGGTTCTGCAATCTCTGTGTCGGCAAACGCGTGTCTGTAACGTGTCTCGCAGTTTCCATCGGTAGATTCTGTAAGTGAGGTCTCAAGCAAAGTCACCGCCAGATGGCTGCTGGGCAGACACTATTGGTTTTTCAGAACATGGATGCGACTCTCTGTCTCGGAAAGCATCGAATGAGCAGCAATGATCTTCGACAACGCAACATTGCCAGCGTGACGCCGACGGGCTTCTGCCGCCCAGGATGGCATTTGGATCCGGAGCGCTTGTTTTTGCTGTGGCAACTTGGCCAGCCCACATAGCATGTGCACATCCTTGGAAGGTATGGAAGAGGGTAGCTCGACCCCCACCCTGCGTCTTGTAGACGCCCTTGCCGATTGTCGCTGCAACGCCAGCCCGAGTAGCTAGTGCACTAGTTCCGGTTCAGAGGATCCAGGTAAGAGTTCTACTTCATGCGAGACCGAAATCCCTACCTCTTTAGGCCACGCAGCTCTACGGCGAGTCGCTCTTCCGGCTGGCTGCTTCCACGTCGGGTCCTCAAAGTCGTCACATGTCCAACTCTTGTGGTGTTACTCGTTACTCGTGCATGAAAGGTACGGTCCGCACCCAGGCTGCGGTCCGGCCTGCAAGGCACGGCAGCTCATCGTCTAGAAGCTTCGACATGCTATGCCAACATCCGCGAAACACCCTTCAAGTCAATGATAGTTGGCTGTTTGCTCCTCGAAATGAGACTGCACTTGAGACTTGAAACCGTTCTTGAGGAGCGGTGTACCAACGTCGTGCTGCAGAGACTTGGCAGACAAGTGTGGTGCTGGGGCTTCGCTATGGTAACTCCTCGTACAGCTGGCTTTGCATCTGCATGGGAGCCTGAGGATCATCTGCGCTATGATTGGAGCTTGCCTTTACCTCGCCCTGAATCGGTGGCTGGAGACACTCCATGCATAGACAGCTCAATCTCGCACTTGGCTTCACACGCCGAAGCCTTGGATGAACAGTTACGCATGGCAGGAGAACCTTGGCAAACCTGAGCAGCAGCAAGCGGCCCAGTGCGACACCCGAAGCCTGCGGAGTGGCCCAGCTGTACTTGGATCAGATTCTTGGAAGTCGGACTCACAGGATCGTGGAAGGACGTAACGGACGGATGGAATCAGGCGGAGTCTCAAGACCCAGAGCACCAGCAACACCAAGTCCACGACGAGAGCAGCACGAGCATCAGCTAGTCCTGTTGTTTGGGGCGTCACTTGTGCGGCTCGTGCATCATGTGCTGGCCTGGGGTCATCAACAGTAAAGAGTGGGTCCTGTGGAGCATCACGAGCATCTGCTGGTCTTGGTATTTGGGGCGTCATGTGTGCGGCTCGTGCATCATGAGCATCAGCTGGTCTTGGTCTGGGGTCATCAAGAGTGGGTCCTGTAGAGCATCACGAGCATCAGCTAGTCCTGCTGTTTGGGGCGTCACGTGTGCGGCTCGTGCATCATGAGCATCAGCGAGTCCTGGCCTAGGGTCGTCAAGAGTGGGTCCTGTGGAGCATCACGAGCATCAGCTAGTCCTGCTGTTTGGGGTGTCACGTGTGCGGCTCGTGCATCATGAGCTGGTCCTGGTCTGGGGTCGTCAAGAGTGGGTCCGGTGGAGCATCACGAGTCAGCTGGTCTTGGTGTTGGGGGCGTCGCGTGGGCGGCTTGTGCATCATGAGCATCAGCTGCAAGAGTGGTTCCTGTGGTGGCCAAGCATACGGCAAGAGCATCATCCGTGTCGGGCCACCAAGACCCAGAGCACCACAGCACCAAGTCCACGACGAGATCAGCACGAGCATCACCATCACGAGCATCAGCTCGTCCTGCTGTTTGGGGAAGTGAGCGGATGCAACTAGGCAGGCGCACCGTTCACCCTGCGAGCCGTGCCAGGCTAGAAGGTTGCGCCCAACGCCCCAACGGCCTAGTAGGCCCAAGACGCGAGGCCTGGAGCTCGGTGTCGGTGCCGGCATCGAGACGGTCCCGGAAACTAGCCCGCTACCGCCCATCGCCGCGCAGCCCGGCAGGAGATGAATGCACCGGGCGCAATCTCGGGGAAGTCTGCCGCGCCAGCCAGCACATAAGTGCCAGTTCCGAGGCTGTCGTCGCTGCGGAGGGCCTCCACTTTCCACGAAGACGACACCGGAGAGGCCCCTCTCCCGGACATGTCAGTTTGGTGAAGGATGCACACGAAATAGTCTGAGCACCGTTTGCAGGTGACCACAAGCTCTGGCAATGTGGCTTTGTCCATGTGGTTGGGGATGATGCTCGACGCTCTGCTTGCATTCTCCTCGGCTCAGGCTGCGATTCTGCGATCTCTGGTAGACGATACTAAGAAAATGCTTGAGAAGCTCCTTGTTCCGAACGGCACTCTTGAGCCGTAGGGATCTTGGTATGGTATGGGTTTCCTAGCTATACTTAAGGGCTTGTTGATCAGACTCCAACTTCCATGGGTTGAAGAGTCAGCAACAACTGTTCAGGACGGCATTCCAGAGGCCCTTATGCCACCCGGCGGCCAGTATTCTGCTGGACATTCGTCCACTAGTAACAGTATCTCGCAATGTTAGACACCATTAGTTCGGAACCTTTCGCCCTGTTTTCGTCGAGCTGTTACTGCTGCACCGACAACTATGGCAACGGCAATGAATCTGGCGATGACGCTGACCCCGTCATTGATTATCATTCTGCGCGTCGTCATGGTCACATCGACTCCATCCTCACCCTCCCCACGTATTCTTCATAGATCGCGTCGTGATCATTCGTTTCATCAGCAGTGCATCTGTGACCAGTCTTCGCAAGAACGTTGCGATTTTGAGGCTGGGATTCATGACCAACGAGGGTGCTGTGACATTCTCCTTCCTGGTAGCGATCTTCATTGCCAACTTCCCAGAAGCCTTTAGCGGTGCCAGCCTCTTGCTGGGGCAGCGCATGGGCGTGTGGAGGATCCCGAGTCCCCGATTTTTGGTTGAGATCCGCTGCATTGAAACCCATCCAAACCAAGCGCAGGTCCGATGTTCCAAGTTGTTGTGCTCGGCCTTGTCTCCCGACCCCTAGTAGCGCCCTCCACGTCGGAAGCTTGTATCTAGCATGCAGGATTATGGCGATGTGGCTGATTCTTTTTTCGTTGACTGGGCTGCTGGCAATGATCGGATCACTCATCATGCCTGCCAATGTCGCCGCTGACATCAACAGTTCAGAACAATCCGGGGGTTCTGCTGTTTTTGCAACGGCCCGATCTTCAGATCTAGAGTCTAGAGGTCTCAGCAAGAGATGCGTTGGCACAATTCGTTGGTCTTGGGTTGGCCGATGCTTCTTATGCATTGGCTTTTTGTGTGTAGCCGTGTAGCGGCCGCACTGTCTATCGAGCACACATCATCTCTATCCGTTGCATCAGAAGGTTTGGTCCCATGAGCGCCCAGTCAAGCTAAGGTCGAACTGGCAAATGAGTGTCTCATGTATTCTCATGTCATGTTGCGAAGCTCTCCAGCCATGGTCTGGCTCATAAAACCAGCTCAGGCTGAGGAGTATGAGTGGCACTGCGCAAATTTGGCAGTCAGGCGACTTTTCATGAGGTATGTGCACGACCACAATGGCAGACAAAGCCGGTCCAGACTTGTTTCTGACAGCTGCTGCTACCACTGGTGATGGTCATGATGAAGATCAAGATGTAGCGTGATGACTCGAATTTTGGATGTCAGCTGATCGTGCAGGACTTTCAGAAAATCACTGGACCCCACGTCTCGAAGCCAAGTACTTGCAGTAGGATCCCGACTGCAAGGGTCCTTAGCTTGCCGCATTGCATCACCTTGCCACCACTCGCCAAGATAAGCCTCGGGTGAAATCGTGCTTTGAGGAGCCCACATTCCCGGACCCTCCTGGCAGTGTGAAAATCCTTCGCTCTGAGCTTTTGCCGGCTTTTGAGCTACATGCCTCGGTGGGGACTTCCCCATGAACTGGCAATTTGACACTCGTGAACGCTTGTGTGGCTTGCGAGCTGCGTGGCGATTCCGCGTCAACTCCCGAATCCGAGACCCCCCACGCCTTTAAACGTTAGTTTCGCATCCTCAAAAAAATTGCTGATCAAACCTTTGCAAAATCCGATGAAACCTTTCCTTGAGCCGTAGAAAACCCTGGTTGCGGGTAACCCGCCATGTCCGTTTCTCCATGATTTCGAAAGCTCGCAACAAAGGAGCGGGGATCTGACTTGGCGCAGAAGCGTGACAAGGCTCGCGTTGGGTGAATGAGCAAATCAGCATGTCCAACCATGCTACGCAGACACAGAGAGACACAGACGTCATCTGGGGTACCTGTCGACCGGCCTCCGGCTCAATTTTTTGCTCATCCTCTTCGCAACTCCTTTCGAGCGGTTCGCTCCTCTGTCTCACATGCCTTGGTAAGTTTGGAGCTTGTTTGCTCCCACATACTGTCTCCTGCACTTCGAGTGATGTGATCCCATCCTTTCGAGCTGTTTGCTCCTCTTTCTCCGAATTTTCCAGTACGTCTGGACTTTGTCTCAAACTCTACAATGGCTGTTCTTTCTTTTGGTTTGCTTCCATTTCTTAATCTCCTGTCAGATCTGAACCTCGTTGGGTTTGCCTACATGTTGCGCTTCCACTGCTCCTCCTCCTCCTTCCTCCTTCCTCCTTCTCCTCTCCTCCCGTTCTCGGCACACCGATCTTCATCATGACCCTTATGCAGCTGCCACACAAGCGTCAGGCCGCGAAGACAACGCACATGGCAGGAGAACATAGGACATAGGAGAACCTGAGCAGAAAAGCAGAAGCTCCAGTCATCAAGCCTTGGCCTGAGAGGTCACGGCCTGTATGGAGGGCCTGACGGGCACGAGACTCAGACTCTCAGAGAATCTCAGACATGCAGAGTTGCTGGTTGCGAGGTGGCGCCATGCTGGCCATGGTCTCCACGGCAATGCTGCCAGAAGCTTTCAAGGGATTCTCGGCTCGAAAGTCCAACTTAGCGGGGCCGGTTTGCCAGGGCACAGAACGGCTTCGACAATCGACATATCGACATCGTGTCGCACGGCCCCAATGGCCCAAGGTGCTGGAGACAGAGCCGGGCTCCTCTTTGTCCTGGGCTTCGGTGCCTGGGCTTTCCGTTTTCTCTTTCCCCAACTTCTCTCACGCTGTCCTCTGGCCGCTGCAGGCCTCTCCGTATGGATTACCTGCTTGGGCTACCGCTTCGGCAGTCCGCAGCAGATGGCAGAAGGAGCCTTCTGAGTGAGAGTTGTAGTTTTTGCACTGCTGGCGCAATACCTGCGACGCAATGCAATGCAAGATGCAGTGGCCGCCAAAGTAGTGGCAAACGGTTCCCCATTCGCACAGTTTCGCGCCTGCAAAAGGCTCGTCTCAATCTGCTTTGCCGCCACTACACGACCACACGCCCATGAGCAGACCTAGGCAGTTGCCTTTCTTCAAGGGAAGCTGCGCAGCTGCTGCCTGCCCGTGGTGTCCTTACGAGTTGAAGCTTCCTACAAACGGTTGGGCTTCTTTCGAGCTTGGAATCAACTGTCATGACGCAGATCACCTGCCAGTTATGCGGCAAAGCTTGCTTCTGAGGGCACACTCGTCGGGCGACAGCATCGTGAAAGGCTGCACCTGCAATGATGGCGACTGGGCCATGAAAGGATGATCCAAGAAGATCTGCACTCCAAATTTTCGAAGTGGCATCCGTGTCAATTTAATCATTTTGTTCCAGCAGTTCCATTCGCCTGGTGTGATCAGCCAGAGTTGCGTAGAGAATCAGTGATGCCATCCAGCTTCGGGACGACACTCTGCGATAGGCATCAGCATGCTAATCAGGCTTTGTCCCTCCAACAAGCGCACCAAAGCCAAATGCAAAGGCTATTGGGGCAGCATCGCGGCACAGGTCAGGGCTGCACTTCACGCGGAAGTGCTCAGTGCGCGTAAAGCTTAAGTCACAATCTGTCACAAGGGCTGGCTCTCTAAAGTGCAAGGTGTGGTGTCGTGCAGTTAGGTGGAAGCAGTCGGTGGTCTGGATTTGCAAAAGCTTTTATGAAGCTCATGGATATCGCTCTGATGCAGGTTGGCAAGCCCTTCTACGCTGGAAGCTGCACAGAATCTTGTCGTTTAATGTCCAACGCAGGGTGCAAAGCAACATGGCGCGGTGCCGCTGCTCGTGCATATCCAAGGCTTTCGACTGCGACGCGGGCACTGGTTCCTCCTGCAAGACGTGCGTGGACCAACCAAAGCGAAAGCAGGAGGGGCTTCGGAAAAGAAGTGTGTCCAAATAGCAGGTCCGTATTGCAAGGACCCTTAATTAAATCTTGAGAAGTCTTCGCATCGTGGCAGGCACAGCCACGCAGTGAGCTCACGCATTCGAATACCGTGCCCTGATGTGCTTTCGCTCATTCCCAGGACAACCATTGCTCCAGCTGCAACGCCCCTTGAGCAGCAGAGATATAGTTGGGCCTAGGCTAGGTCTAGTCTTCATGAGACTGCCGAGGCTTCAGGTTTTCTCTAAATTACTTGAGATTGCTGTTCGACTTTTATACTGTACTGGCTTGAATGTAGCCTTTTGTGGAGAGGGACAATCTTCTTATTTAGGGGCTGCGCCCAGGTGCGGGCAGCGCGAGCTGTTGTCAGAAACCCGCGGTATATAGATAAGTGCAACGTAGGCCCGAAGTGCGCAACTTGTGGGTGATCGTAGGCTCTCAGCCCCCGTCGGCCCTGCATGTAGCCCGCACCCCCCGTCCGCCGGACCCCGCTGATGCTCATGATGCGCGCCCTTTGGCGGCTTCCGCAACCCACTCAAAAACTTGGGAGTTATGACTTCGCGCCCACGTCGCGCCGCCGGCGCCGGTTGCGGGCGCCCGAGGGCTCATGATGCTCGCCGGCTCGCCTCCTGGCGTCGTCCACCGCGGCCCCGAAACCCGCCACACCGCGGGGAATGGCTGCAAAACGCGTGCACGTTCCGAGACGCCTTCGGGCCAGGCCCCGCGCGGCCCGAGGGAGAAACGAGGGTCCGATGATGCGGGGTTCGGGGCGGGTCGGCGGCACTGTCGGTCGTGGCTTCTGCTTCGCAGACGAAGCTCATTCGTCTGAGCCATAGCTCAGTCCATACAGGGCAGCGAAGCGCTGCCCGATTTAAGAGCCTCCGGCTCAAGCCGCCGACCCCGTGGGCGACAAAGCAGAAGCCGACTGCATCTGCACAGGAGCTATGTGGGGACCAGGGATGTGGGAAGCAGTTTGGGGCCACGGCTTACACGAAGCCACTTCTTGGCCCCGAAGGTTGAACCTTAAACCCTAAACCCCAAACCCTACCCCGCAACCCTAAACCCCGACCTTAAACCCTCAACCCCTACACACTGACCCTCCAACTTCAGCCCCCTCAAACGGGAGGGGGAGGGGGGAAGGGGGGGGAGGGGGGGAGGGAGGGGGGAGGGGAGGGGAGGCGAAAAAAATTGATGGTTTTCCTAGAGTGAACTGATTTGAACCCAATGGGCTGCGGTGTGATGCTTCTGGGGGCTTGGGTGCTGCTTGCAAACAGCCATGGGGTACCCCCCCCCCCCCCGCAGGGGGCGCCCGGTGTGCGGGATGAGGGAAAAAGGGAGGTTAACACCTCCAAACCCATCGAGACCCATCCAACACGCCGCCAGGGTCGGCGGATTGCCAAGTTTACGTAGCTCCCTATTTTCCCAAACCGAAAATGTCAGCATGCTTTGCACTTTTGGAGGATGGCTACACCATCTTCGAGCCTCAGTGCAAGGCCTGACTGGGAGATGTTTTCGGGTCCGGGCTTCAAGCAAAGTGCCTGGCGGCAGCACCCCATGTTAAGCAAAGTATGACTGCTGGATTCACCAGGTTATGGCCAGCGATCAGAAGTGTGGAGGCTCGACGCATGCAAGTCTGGAAGTGGAGTTCTGATGGCTTCGAGCAGATTCTTGCGATCGGAGCTAGAAATTTCTCAGCCACCCGCCTCCGGTCCCAGGCCATCAAGTCTCGAGGTCAGGTCATTTTAGGCGAAGGCTGTCTGACAGCACTGCAGGACCAACTTGCGCGAAGGCCTGCAAGGGCGACAAGTGCGGCTTCAAATGCCCGTGGCCTGGAGTCTCACTGCAAAGCGAGTGGATTGAGTTTTTTGCTAGCTGAGGTGCCGGGACGTTGGCCGGCCAGGAGAGAAAGTTTAAGAGATGCTTCCTGCACGGGCATAATTGCTTGTCGTCTCAGGAGGAGTGTGCGGCGCAATGCCAGGGTGAGCAGTGCGGCTTCCAGTGCAGCGGTGGGGACCTCACCTGTGGGACGAGAGGAGCTGTAGGACCCTAGGATGTGGCTTCGCGGGCCCAGTGTGAGGCTGTCACTGCATGAATCTCCTTGCCAGGTGGGAACTGCGCATCCACATGCCAAGGCTGGGGGTGGCCGCGGGCGCATGTTCGATCATTTTCGTGCAAGCCTCGTGCCCAACATTTCTCAGCATCATTCAGAACATGATCTGATGACATGTTCTGATGTTTTATGTTTGGGTTTGGGGGGTGCTTTCAACCCCGTCGACGGAGGTGTTTCTTTTGATCATTCTGTCCCTGATTGTGTTGCAGTGGCCTTAAGTTTGACTGCCAGGTCATGGCGTCCGGTATATCGTATGCAGTCCGTCACCCTCTACCGAGCATCTCTGTATGCTCTCCAGCTGTTCCGCTATCAGAAGCTGAGATTTTGACATCGTCGGATGTCTGTCGGTCCTCGTGCTGTGAATCCTCGTTCATTCACCTGCCGTTTTGTCCTTGTCCGTTTTCCTAAATCCTGTTTCCTCAATAATCTCCCTCTGCCTCTGACTCTCAATGGATTCTTCGAACTGCCTCTCTTGGTGTCATTCTCGCTTCTGCATTCAGATATAACTCGCTGTTTCTGGTGTCAGGCAACCAATGCGCCTACGAGTGCCAAAGCACTTCCTCGGATGTTCAGCAATGCGGCAAGGAATGCAAAGGCCTGCGACTGTGGCGAGCCCAAGAAGCCGAGGCACCTGTAGGACTGCGCCTGGCAGGTTTCGAGTGCGGCTACTATTGCCAGGGCGCTGAGTGCGCACGCAGCTGCTCCGGTGCCCTGCTGGAGACATCTTAAGTCTTAAGTTTTTGCGGCAGGGATCATGTCTGCATGTCTGTGTTGCGTGCGCTCCGGCAGCCCATGGCAGCCCGTTGCCAGGCGATCGTTGTGGTGCGTACTGCAGCGGCGAGTATGGCATGCTGGCTGAAACGGTTCGCGAAGAGAACTACCAAATATAAGGACCATGTATACTAGGCTGTATGATTGAAGAAGCATCCTGGACTCGAACATCTTCAGGGTTTTGAGACAGTGTGTGAGATTGAGATTGCTCGGAGCGGCCATGCTAGAGTTGCAGGTGTTTCAGAACATGTCTGCCTGTACTGCATTGAGGTCAGTTAGGGAACTGCGCGGCCAAGTGCGTGGGCAGGCCGGGCATGCATCCTCCAGTATCTTCCGTGCGGTGGCGCTAGTTGGGCTTACGACTCTGTGATGATGTCGCTGGAGCCTAGAGCCTAGATCGGCAACTGGAAGATGGGTGAGGAGCTGCCATGTATCTAGTGGAAACTAATTGCTTGGACGAGGGGCCTCAGAAGAGCAAGTTGATTGAACTCGGTACTGGTGCAAGGTAGAGCTGCTGGTGGCTTCGGGTTGAATATCTACAGATAAGCACATTGTCTCTGTCACGATGGCCTCCTTTCTTCCCCATGGGTTGAACTTCCGCGCCAGCGATCACTCGTAGTTTCATTGCCTGCATGGTGGTGGTAAGTTTTCAAGCTGCTGATGTGATCCGAGATTGATGGTTTCCTCAGAGAGACATTGGAGAAGACCGTGTCACAACTCGTTCATGTCCACACGTTGCGCACACCGGACGACACTTCCTTGCTTGGCTTAAATGCGGCACGGTTTCGAAATCATTGCGAATACAGCGAGTACGTGCAAAGCACTGCAAAACTGCGCAGAATGTCTCATTGTCCTCGTCTGGCTTTTGCTCCAGGCAGTGTGGTTTCGAGTGCATTGGCCACCAGTGCGCTGCAGAATGCCAGGGCAGCCGATGTGGGGGCGCCAAAAGAAATCCTGTTTGACGATCTCTCTTTCGGCTGCAGAGCCAACTTCTGAGGTGCCTACCGATGCCAGGGTGATCTTCAGGCCGGTAGGTAGATGGAGGGCCGAGGGCGGAGGGAGAACGCTCTCTTCGGTGGCCTAGAGCCTTCCGCTTGTGCCAGGAGATCGGCAGCTGTGGCCTCAAGTGCCAAGGCCGGCTTTCCTCCGCTTCTCCAAAGCTCCAAACGTGGGCTAAGATCGGCTCAGCCTACAAACAGCTCTAAGTTTACGGCTTCCAGACTTCGGAGCGTCTCCTTTCTCGAGCCAGGACCCGAGTGCGCCTTCAGCTGCCAGGGCTCGGCCTGCGCTCAGCAATGCACAGGCCAGGCGGCAGATGTCAAAGAGCTCGAAGTCTGGGCGTTTGAAGTTAGGGCATCTGTTTGAATCTATTTGGGCCCGGGATCCATCTCCATCTCATGCTTGAGGTGACCGATGCGGCAAGAGCTGCCAGAGCGGCACCAGTGGCGACCAGAGTTGTGCGAAGCAGCACCTTTCCTGAACTGCTTTGGCCAGGATCTTGCTGTCTCGCTCGGTTTCTCTCGGACTCAGGCACTGTCGACCTCATTTAGTTCAATCACACGACGTAATGTTTTGTCATTGTTTCTGCGTGTTTCCAACACTGTTTGCGAGATTTGGTCAAGGGTTCGACACTGCTTGTCCGTTTGCAATCAATAGAATCACTCCTGCTGATCTTCCCCCACTTTTTTTGCATGATTTCATGCAGTTTGCTCCACTGTCCCTCTCCCTCTCTCTCTACCTCTCTCTACCTCTCTGTTTTTCTTCAGGCGGAGTTCCGCTCTCGCATGGTCTACTTCTTTCTCAAGACTCCCTCGATTTGAATGTCACACTAGAGCAGAGGCCTCACAACGGCGTACCCCCGAGGTGCAAAGGCGAACAATGTGGTGCTCTGTGCGTGGGGGCGACCTGCGCCAAAAGTTGCGAGGGCGACTTCTGCGCCTTCCAGCCCAGACCTTAAGGGTAATTATGGGAGTGAGTGTTGCCCACTCAATCAGGCCTCTGTGCTCTGCTCATATCTCTGAAGATCTCTTTTTGAATCATCGCCCTTGGCCTAGGTGCAGCGGAAAGCTGGAGGCAGAGCGGTGGAATCAGGGGTTGTAGAGAACTTGCTTGCAGCCTCCTAGGGTCCTAGACAACAGCACTATATTTCTCAAACACGGTGTCCCAGCTACTTTAGGGGTTGGCTTCACTCTGGCAGGATGTGGAGACATGCGGTGCCGGCTGCAAGGGAGTGGGCTGCGCGGCATCGTGCCAAGGCGGGCCAACGGGCAGTATGGGACGAGATGCCACAACTACCAGTTACAGCCACCGCAGTTAGGCCCTACAGGTCAGGAAGGCTCGAGTGTTGACGATGACCTAGCACCCGAAGCCCTCTACTTCCTCCTTTTAGAAGCTGAATCACGATGTCCAAATAGCCTCCAGGCAGCGAGTGCGCCCAGGGGTGCACAGGAGAGCGATGCGGTGCCGGCTGCAGTGGCACCTCTGGCCACCCGGATGCTTCACCCCAGAGCCCCTCATTTCAGGCCGCAGGACAGAGGCCTCTCCTTTGCCCTGAATCCTAAGATCTCTTAATACCCTAAACACTTAAACCTCAGATCCCCTGCAGACTCGCCGTTTTGCTGACAGCTTTCTCAGCACAAGCACTGGGCTTGCATCTTTGAGGCAGCAAGTCCCACTGTGCCGCGGGCTGCGTCGGGCGCCGTTGTGCGGCGAACTGCAAAGGCACAACCAATCTCTGCAGTTTCGTGAGGCTGAACTTGGAGGAAGGAATTATCGCACTAACAAGGACTAGCTCACCTGGCGGAGGACGTGTCCGTGACCGGTACAACTTCGTAGTGCCAGTGCCAGGGTTCTGAAAGTCGTTTGACCCCTCAGCACGGCTAAGCCGGCCAAACCCAACTTCTTTTCCAGGAGCCTTCTGCGTGCTGCGGATGCAAGGATTCTGAGGGGCGGGATCGTCACAGGAAGGTTCGGAGGTGCCGTATTCGCTCTGGCACGGCACGGGTTTCTGCCCCATGATACCCCTTAAAGACCCTTGTTTATCTTGTTCGGCCCGGGATCACAGGATGCTGAGGAAGCATGCCGCGGTCTTGCCTGGTTCTACTGAGCACGGACCATGACCAGCTTAAGCAGCCCTGTAAACACAGCCAAGCGCAGCTTCCTTATGTGGAATGCTGTAATATGCGGAAACACTCTCCGAGGGAGCTGGCTGCAAGGGCGAAGGCTGTGCAATGGGATGCGAAGGCTGCCTCGGGGAAGATTGCATTGAAATGGGTGTTTGATACCTAGCCGGGGCCATGACTTGTGCATTGCAGGCGCCAAGGGTCTAACACAGGAAAACTCGTCTGCCCGCTTTGATCTTGATACTCAACGTCTTGGCAATGCTGCTCGAGCATGTTCCATTATTCATACACCGGCTCCAAGGTGCCTATACTCCACTCGACCTCACCAGAATCGTAGCTATCCTACAACTCAGATGCAGCCACTATTGCAAATTGCTAGACGACGCAAGTGGATTCGTGAAATGATCGAAGAGGTTCCTGCGTTTGGACAATCCTAACCCATCAATGTAGTCATGGTCTGTATGCCCTATGAGGCTGTTCGGCGAGCCTTTCAAAGCTTTCAGGATTTCTGCTGTGCACCTCGACAATTGACGCACCGGCGAGGTGAGAACTGCGATCAGGGCTGCACGGGGACCAACTGCGGAAAAGGCCGGAGCCGGAGGGTCTGAAAAGCGGATGACCGGATGACAGTGTCCGTCCGGTCCGTCCGGTCCGTGCCAATGGCCAATACAGCCAATACAAAGGAAAGGAAATCGAATAGGCAGCAGAGATCTGTGATCATCTGTGCGGTGATCTAATGGACGCAATGTGTGCTGGACTAGAGGCCTCGACGTGGCCTTTGTTTCATGAAACTTGTCATCGTCCTCTTCACTTCTTGGTCAGTTGGACTGCAGGAAGCCTTATCAGTTTTGCATGCCGCTCAGGAGCAACGCCAGCAGCGACTTGCAAGGAGGACGAATCCGTTCCGAGTCACACGCGCATGCAGGCTGTTCCGAACGAAGCGATGAAGCTCAAGCGTGTTATAGGATGAGGTGGGCATTTAGGAGCGTGTCATGACATTTAATGCTGCCGTCATAGTATCTACTTTTCAAACCCGTTAGCCAGCTGTGCAGAAATCACGGCTGCCTAATCGCTTTGCCTTCCGGATGACAGCACCACTTGGGCATTTTGCCCGCCAGGAGCTTCAAAAGAATCCGAAACTCTGCGGCTTACGGGCAACCTTCAATGACGAGGCAAAATTCATTCAAAGCGGCTGCTTTTGTTGCGTTTCCAGTTGATGTCTGCTTCGGACCACAGCGGAAAGCTCTCATGGCCTGTGCGGCTTGGGGAGAAGCGCTGGCGGACCCGTACGTGGGCTGTTGTTGTAACATGTACCACAAGTGTGATCTCGCGAGATGCTTATGCTACGCTTGCAGCCATTTGCAGCATTGATCATTCCTGATCCCTTCGCCTGAACAGAGGCGAGAACCGTTTCTAATCCCGAATGAAGTTCCTTTCCGGCTTCTGCTTCCTCCGGTTGCTCCCGTGCTTGGCTTACAAGTTTCGCGACCCTCACATCCCAGTATCGCAGATCCAGTACGTGCAGGAGTTGACTGTGGCCTTGCCGCTTGCGGTCATCAACCTCACAAACACCACACAACTTCTCCGAGATGGAAACCTGGTAGGTGGGAACATCACCTTCCGCGCGAGCGACTTCGGACATGACGTGCCCTTCGTGATGGACAAAGTCAAGGGCTTCTACGCAATTCTGGATGACGTACTAAGCCGAGCGAGTGATGGCAACCCTTGTTTCCACGAGGATCTCGGAAGCTACATGGCCTGCATCGTGGCGGCCTCATGCGTTATTCAGGCCGCCGTGCCGGCCCATGTGAGCATGGAGGTCTACGCCATGATCCTTGAGCAGGTGACCCGCTTCGAAGAGATCACGTGGCCACTGCTTCGGGACGCCTTGGGCCACGAGGAGGGCAGCACACTTGCAAGCGACATCCTCTTGCCGGAGGCATTTGTATGTGATGGATCGGAGCATGACCCCTCGTTCTTGCAGCTTGGTTCCGACAGCTTACATGAGGCGTCGCTGCAACGACTCATTTCTGAGGTTGGCGCAGAACACAAGGCTACCGTAAGCATGGCATTGGCCCTTCGAGAGGCAGCCGCCGACAGTCACCAGATCTTGGACAGCCATGCCATGAACGGATCCCTCGATGCCACCATCGAAAAGCTTCAGCACGCATGGCACCCAGTGTGCCAGCAGCTTGGCTGCGACCACACCAACTTTTGGGACATCTTCTTGCAGCACCACAAGCACAGCATGGCGGTCCTCAAGACGAACCATGCCGGTCTCCTCCGCTCGGACATCAAGCTGCGGTTCCACCTGGAGCACCGGGTTCAAAGGTCCCTTGCGCTGCAGTAGCAGGTTCGTGGTGGCAGTGGTATTGGTAGTGCTACTGGTGTGCCGGTGCTAATGCTAGTGCTACTTGTAGTGGTGCTGGTGGTGATGCTGCTAGTGGCAGTGGCAGTGGCAGATGTGGTGGTACGTACTAGTGGTGGTCTTGGTTGTGGTGGTGGTGGCGGCAGTAGTGACAGCGGCGTTGGTGGTGGTAGTCGTCGTCGTCGGAGTAGGTAGTAGCAACAGTAGTAGTATTAGCAGCAGCATTAGCATTAGCATTAGCATTAGCATTAGCATTAGCAGTAGCAGTAGCAGTAGCAGTAGCAGTAGCAGTAGCTGTAGCTGTAGCTGTAGCTGTAGCAGTAGGAGTGGGAGTGGGAGTGGGAGTGGGAGTAGGAGTAGGAGTAGGAGTAGGAGTAGGAGTAGGAGTAGTAGTAGTAGTAGTAGTAGTAGTAGTAGTAGTAGTAGTAGTAGTAGTAGTAGTAGTAGTAGTAGTAGTAGAGGTAGTAGTAGTAGTAGTAGTAGTAGTAGTAGTAGTAGTAGTAGTAGTAGTAGTAGTAGTAGTAGTAGTAGTGGTAGTGGGTAGTGGTAGTGGTAGTGGTAGTGGTAGTGGTAGTGGTTACTAGTAGGTAGTAGTAGTAGTAGTAGTAGTAGTAGTAGTAGTAGTAGTAGTAGTAGTAGTAGTAGTAGTAGTAGTAGTAGTAGTAGTAGTAGTAGTAGTAGTAGTCGTAGTAGTAGTAGTAGTAGTAGTAGTAGTAGTAGTAGTAGTAGTAGTAGTAGTAGTAGTAGTAGTAGTAGTAGTAGAGGTAGTAGTAGCAGTAGTAGTAGTAGTAGCAGTAGTAGTGGTAGTATTGTAGTGGTCGTGTCCGTGGTAGTGGTAGCAGCGGCAGCGGCAGTAGCAGGAGTAGCAAACCTAGTAGTAGTGGTAGTAGTAGTTAGTAGCAGTAGTTGTAGCAGTAGTAGTAGTAGTAGTAGTAGTGGTAGTAGTAGTAGCAGTGGTAGTAGCAGTAGTAGTAGCAGCAGCAGGAGCAGGAGTAGAAGAAGAAGATGAAGAAGTAGAAAGGGAAGCGGAAATGGAAGCGGAAGTAGAAGTAGAATAGAAGTAGCGGTCGCAGTCGCAGTGGCAGTGACAGTCGCAATCGCAGTCGCAGTGGCAGTAGGAGTAGTAGTCGTAGTCGTAGTTGTAGCCGTTTTATGATTCTGATTAGTAGTAGTCGTAGTAGCAGCAGCAGCAGCAGCAGGAGTAGTAGTAGTAGTAGTAGTTGTAGCAGCAGCAGTCGTATTTGTGGTCGTTGCCGTGGTGGTGTTGGCGGCGAGGGTGGTGGTGGTGGTCGTGGTGGTGTTGTCGGCGATGGTGGTGGTGGTGGTCGTGGTGGTGGTGGTGGTGGGGGTGTGTCCATCAGCCGGAGACGCAGGTAAAATTCGATTTCGAAATCATTAAGATCCCTAATAACTGAATTCATGGTCGTACAGCGGTTGCACAATCATGCGAGAACAAATAAAAGAAGAGGCATTCTGAGCCTTCCGGGGCCCGAGGCGGCTAGATTCTTGAAAGCTCCCTGATGAAAGAAACAATTAGAACTGCACTGAACTTCCCAGGTTCATGGCAGACACTCAAGACTACAGCTTCATCGAGAAGTATGCTCGGTACGGCAAGGAGCTTGCGTCCTCAAGTTCGGGGTTTTGTAGCTCCATCTTCCCGGCCTTGACAGGAGCAGCACTCATCTCATCAACACTTCTATGGCTACCACGACGGTGCCCGGGCAGCCATGCTAGCATTTGCGGGCCCCGTCGCGGCTGGGTTCGCAAAAAGCCAGTTCCCAAAGAGCTTTCTCAGCGTGAGCACCCCCGCAGCAATTACACTGGTGTTTCGTTTGTTTCAAAAGGTGAAGTCTTTACCCTACGAGCGGGCCAAGCGTTTGGTGGACCTACACAAGTTGGACGACATCAAGAAGTCCAGGGAGGTCGTGTGGTGGTCACCGTAAGCAACACTGCAGTGGGATAGGGATCATCAGCTTCACTCTGGATCAACAAAGGGATCAACACATATTTGAAGTAATTGCCGGTACCACTACCACTACTCCTGCTCCTACCCCTATTCCTACCAGTACTACAACAACAACAACTACTACTACTACTGCTACTACTACTTCTTCTATGACCCTTACTGTTATTGTTGTGGTTTGCTTTTTTTTGATTAGAGTTTTTTGATCCATCACCTCATTGCAGCAGCCTGTTGTGACTGGAATTCATGTGCATTTGCTCCTCCATGTGGCCGTCCGAGGTATCTGAACAAGGATCTGAAGTGTTTTTTCGTTCAAATTCCGCGCGACACTGATGCATGCAAACTCCAAGCAGGAATTCTCCTTTTTGAGATATACATCCGTAGTGAGCAGTGAGTAGTGACATATGCAGGCGCTCCGTTTTGGTTCCGAAGAGCCAGCGGTGCCGGGCGAGAGGGATGGCAAGCCGATCTCTTTGCTAGAAGAAGCTGAAGAAGACGAAGGAAGGGAAGGCCACCTCGCAACACACAACACACACCACACACACGCAAGGATGCTAGTGATTCTGCTCGCTACAGTAAAGCAGAGCGTGTGTGCATTATACAAGGCATTGTAGTGTATGGTATGGCTAACAGCTAACACTGCGTTTAGTGACAGTGGTTTCCGGGTACGAGTGGTCGCCGGCAGGCAAGGTGGTGTTTTGGGATCGACGTCGCGACCGCCGCAGACGCCGTCGGGTTTTCGAAGCGGTCGTGAACGTTGTGAAGGATGTGGCGAAAGAGGTGGAGAAAGTGGTGGAGGACGTGGTGAAAGCGGCGACTTGGCTAATTTAAGAGGTTTTGGGCAGGTTGACGTTGCCACTACTTGTAGGTTGGGTCGCGTTCTCCTGCTCAGCTCGTCCTGAAGATCTGAAGGTGGAGAGTGCTCTCAGTTGCGCAGGCCAGGGTGGCACTTTCGCATCCACGGGTTACACGCGATCCATTAACGGCAACGTCGCTTGGTCCATTGGTTTGTCTGCTGGACCCGAAGGCGTTTTCAAGGAGTTGCTAAATGGTAAACTGCCCCTGGGTACGATCTCGCTGGGAGCTGGGTTTAGTGTGGGCAGCACTACAGATGTTTGGTGGGCCGGTGCTGGCTTCGGCGGATCTATCACGTGCAAAGCGGGCAGGGGCATGTTTGGTATCAAGAAGCCGGGCCAATGCAAGCTCGACATGACCGTGGCGACTTTGGCATGCGGCAATGTGCCAACGTCACATTCTGCTTGTCCCATGGGCCGGAACTTTGCAGGCATGACTTGCTCGAGCTCTGGAGGCTACTTTGTGTCCATAATGTGCTGCACCTTCGACCTGTCGAACGGAAAGAATAGCTGTGACTAGTGAGCTGAACAAGCTTGATATGCCTCTGTCTGTTGAGGTTCAGACTCGCGGCTGTGAACCCGTTCTGCAAAAGCGAACTAGTGCCACAAATCCCGCGAGTTGCATCGTCGGAAAGTGGTTCGATGGCCTGTGGCATCTAAAACTGCGACTTGGGCAGGTGCTCTTTGCCGGCGAGACAGCTGCAGATGTTTGCCTTTGCCTCAGAATAGCCTTGCTCAGACACTGTCGCCGCTGTAGCCCGTACCTCGGCCGCCGCGGAGCATGTCGCCGCAAGTTCATGTGACAGATACACCTGGACGACGCGACAAGCAGACGTTCTGCAGAGGCAACAAACAAGAACAACTTCAAAAAGGCCTCCTGTCCATCGCAAGGGATAGGAATCGGGTAGTATGTGCAGCTGGTCCCCGATTGCCACTTCTCGCGATTATATCCATGAATCATGTTCCATCTGCGCACATTATTGATTTAGCCAGCTCTTGTGTGCGGCTGGGCCCAGGTTGCAGCAAAACCGATTGCCCAGACGGCTACCAGGTGCACTGCATGCTTCGAAACGTTGGTCTTCCGAAGCCTCACAGTGGCGGATTTCACACGTCGGTTCAGTTTGAGCTTGAGGGTCAGGGCCAATGCCCCAAGCTTACAAACCCCCAAATGGGCAGGGCCCCTTTCAGGCCTTAAGCAATAAGGGACAGCCAGGTCCGATTGGAAATGTGTTCGCTTAGTGTTGATTTGTCAGCGGCGACCCTAGAGCCAGTCGCCGAACTGCGAATAAACAACAGCCATGCAAGCAGCACGCTAACCTGCAAGCATCGCTCCACCACCGCACCTCCAGCAGCCTAATCCATCCCACCTCTGCCACTAGCGTCGATGCCTCCAGAGCAGCTGCGGACGGCTCTTGACCCATGTTACAAGGCCACTGTGCATCGCTTGTAAATCCAATCTAAGATGCAAGCACAAAGGTGTTGCCTGTTTTGACTGACTAGCTCACCATGTCCGCCCTTGCCAGCTCGTGGACGGCGAGTGCCAGCCCCCGACATGCAAGGGCGAGCAGGGTGCCCAGCACAGAGCAAGTCGATGTGATTTTAGAGTTTATGGCTTATGGGGGTTGAGAGAGATTCATGCAATAGCCGGCAAACAGAGGGTGCCTGCCCAATGCCTGAAGACTTTTCCCCTTTCAAGACGACCCGAGAAAGCATTACACGGTCCGTGGCCCGAGGTTGGTGGAGGGCCGCTTGGCTTCGACGTTTTGCCAAGACCAGCTGTTTACGTAGCATATTTAGCTGTGTCGCCACTGCTCCAAGGAGCAGAAGCCACGAAGTCCCGATAAAAGATGCACCTCTTGCTCTCTGACATTCATGCCTTGTCCAGGCTGTTATTTGGCGGACTACAGCAAATGCTCCAACAGCTACATTAAGTACGAGCCGCATCCTCAGGGACCCGTAAGCGATTCTCAGGAGGGCGCAATGGCATGGCCCAAGCCGGCAGATTAGTTCAATATTGCGTCTCTGTTTTTTTTTTGCTTTGCCTTTGCTAAACTTTGTCGTGCCCATCTCCTGAGCTACAACAGCTTATCTAAGCCGCTTGTCTAAGCCTAAGCGGTTTCTGCCCGAGCTCCCTCAAGCGCAGTTGTCTCCGCCAGGACGGAATACCTCCAATGCGGTGCCGCCGGTCCGAATTGCCTCTCAGACACCATCTGCAAGAAGTGATCTTAGGATCACGGGGAGCAATCCAGACTGCGGCTGCGCCCGGAACGAGAGGAAAACTGGGCTTGTGCACTGCTCGCCCACTCAGGCTTCTGGTACTTGCTACGAGTACTCCTTTCGCGATGCTTCCGGGGTCACTGATGGTTTGACCTACAAAGGTCTCGCGTCTAGGGAATTTCTTTCCAGTCTACATCTCTCCGCTGCTTTGGCTTTTGGCGGCGAGCACCGAGAGCCATGACGCCATCAAGGCCGACATCCGTGATAGAGCGAACCGAGGGCTAGAGCTGAGGGCGGCGGTATTCGCTGATCATTCGTCGGAGGGCAGAGTTTGATGCCTCTCCTGACGATGGTGTCCATTCCCTCACGGTGGCGCGACATCTGGGATGTGTTGCCCGAGTCAGTCACTGTCGCCTCACGGAACATGAAGGTTCGCCATCCACTGTGTCGTCGTCCGAGGGGCCAGGAAGGAATCGAATTCAGGCTCATGCTGCGGATGGGTTACAGAGGGTGAAATAGTTCGCAGGTCATGGTCCTGCTACCGAAATCAGTTGCCGTTGAGGTTCTGGAGTTCCAAACCCTGAGCCTCCGAAGACCACCGGCTAGGCGGCGCCTTCCGCTGCTGGCACTTGTCGTTGCGCGACTCTTGGAAATCGATAGGATCGAAGTCCTTGCGTTTCGGCATCTGTGATTACAGAGTAGCCTGGGGTGCCTAAGCGCTTCTTGCTTTGACCAGTGCCGCATGCCAATGCTGTTGAACTTGGTGGCCTGACTACGCCGGCGAGTCCTGGGCCATACCCGCTGCGAAGCTGTCGTGCTGGCGGCCTTTCGGGGCCGATGGGCATCTCATCCCCATGCATGATTTTGCATGGTCCGCAGGACTCGTCGTTTTTACTACTGACGAAAGCTCTGACATCGCCTGCCTTGCAGTCCCTTCAAGGCCGGCTGGCAGTTTTCACCCGGCAGCGATTTTACAGGCCAGCCCAGCTGGCGCAAGCGGGAGCATTTGGCCTGCATTGTCTCCACACCTTGGTGAGGGGGGGTGGGACGTGAGGTGCTCGGCTCCCAGAACGCAACGAGCCTGTTCTTCGAAGAGCTCAGAAGGAGCAGAAGACCCAGGCGGCCGGTAGTTTGCTGTGGTTTGCTAGAAGCATTACATCGTGTTGTCGCAGGCTTCTTCAAGGCGAAGTACTTAGAGTATCAAACCATATGAAACCACACTGACGCCCAAAAACTCTGGGCATACTACACAGAGACAAGAGGCCGACAAGCACTTCAGATTCTTGAGCCACTACTACTGCGAACACAGCCAGCTGGATTGATCCCTTCTATATGATTCGCGGAGAAAATGCATCCACTGGCGCATTGCCTGAAGGCTTACAATGAGATCGCCAGCGTGGAAGTGTCCGAGAAGGCCCCGTCTTAGTTTGATCCTGCTCTGTCTCTGTTCCCCGAAATTGAAAAGTATGCCAGCCATGTCCAACTACTGAGAACCGAATGCTGCTAGATGCACAGCTCAGAAAAGACAGCGATGTATCGATGTATCCGAGCGCCGAGCATGCTATCCAGCAAGACTAAAGGGCCAAAAAGGGTCGAGAGGACAGCGCAATGTGGACCCTGCAGTGCAGGAGAAATCGATGAAGGGGTACATGTCTCCAGAGGATGTCGCAGCTGCGTCTCTTCGGCACGTTGGAGTTGCGGGGTTCGGACACTCCACGTACGGCGGAAGTGGAATTTGTTTATTTGGCATGCATGTAGACCTGGCAAGGCGCCTAGTAGTACATATTACTGTTCTGTTTAGGATCCGTGTGCAAGCTGTGAGGGCTCAAGAACATAAATCGAACGAAGCAGTCTTGGCAGTGCATCTGCAAGAGAACATGGAAGAGGCATAAGTTCGGATGTGGTGGAGTAGAAAGCCCTGTTGTATGGTGAGGCACCGATGTGAACTGCGTGTGTTTTGGTTGAGCTCCATTTAAAGTCAGACCGTGTCGTCTCTGTGCATGCAAAGCATGTGTGTGCGTGCGCTTGCAGAATGTATTTTGTGTTTGTGTGGGCCATTTGCCGACGTCCTGCTGGCCGTGCCAGAAGATGCGTTTGTCTGCATGTCGGCGTATTCCTGCCCTTTGAAACCCCCTGGCACGCGACGGCTCAGGAGCTTATCCGCCGTCGTGAAGAGCAGGCTTGCGCTGGCTGTCAGCATCTGTCACGGTGTTCCGCTTGTTACGGGCAGGTTACGGGCCTGCAGCGTCATGTTGTACTGGAGTACGAATCCGCTGAACCTGCACAATGCCTGCGCCGCCATGCCCCTGCTGCCAGCTGGAAAGCTACATGAGCGGCGTAGATCTCGAACAAGAAGAGCGAAGCGACAGGTCGATTTCGCCTGCTCCCCAGTGCACAGCTTCCTTTCCGAAATGTTGTGCTACATCTTGCACAAACCAAAGCTCTTTCTTGTCGTATTTGACAAACTTTGAAGATGCATGTATGGTCAGGCGTCTTGCGTTCCCGCCCCCCATCCCCCGCCCTCAACGGTATGGGCTGGTACGTAGGGGCTGGCGTATGCGATGAGTGTCGGGGCCGTTGGAGCTGCAACTGGAGGGTGGGGTGGGGGCGGTCAGGGGTGAGAGAGGGCCGGGATCTTCTTACGAAAGCCATAAACCCTGTAACGTAGGACGTGCTCCTGCTATTCTCAACCTTAACCTGTATTAAACCCCTGGCAGAATGCCGGCTCTAAGCCTGAAGCAGAACACAAACCGTCAACGCCAACGAAGCTACACCCCAGAGCCCCCCCAATTCCTTGTCGACTCGAAGCCTTGTAATTCTAACCCTAGAACCCTAGATAAACCCCAAACTCCACAACGACCACACAGAGGGAAAAAGGGACTCCACAAGCCGCACAGGGGTGGGGGGGCATCCTGGACCATGGGGAGGGGGAGGGCCGCAAAGACGCGACCATAGATGATGCAGGGCTGCCACCCCCCCCCTCCCCCCCCGACCCCATGGTCCTCCCCCCTTCCCCCCCGCCCCCCCTGTGGTGTGGGGCCTGTGGTGGTACTCGTTTTGCCGCGACGTTCTTATGTGTTACTCCTTGTCTTCTCTCTTGCTGTGGCACCGGTGATACTGCTCAAGATGTTGTGCTGCTCCAGACTGGGACATGTCCCGGGCCGCCCCCCCCCCCAATGGTATTCCCCCCCACCCCCTGTTGCCCTGCTGCTGCACGCCACCCGCCCCGGCCCGCCCCCGGCCCGCACCTGGTCCGGCCCTTGACCTTGTGTGCGGATCGGGAGTGTCGCGCTATGCCCTGCCGTGTGCGGAAAGCGGCAATCGGCGCAGTAGTTTCCAGCATCTGACATGAATTGCAATGCTGAATTATGTTGGCTATGTCTTGACATGCTACTTTAATGTGCCGCGCGGCCATTTTGGCTTAAGTGCTGTTTTTCTGTTGTGTCTGTTGCTGCTGTTGCCTTCTGTTGGGCTGTTACTGGTCATGTCGGTCCAACCTTTGCGTACCCTGGTGCGCCGACTGAGGGCGGCAGCGGCTGCTGATGACGAGCAGTTGGATGCAGCGATTGCTGCCATGCCTGCTGCTGAGGCCCTGCGTCTCTACTACCACTTTCGGGACCACGTTCAGCAGGCACACATGGAGTATGAGACGGAAGGCTCCAGCGAGTATGACCTGCCTGCTTGTCCTGTCGCTGGAGCCCTGCACCTGCCCACTCAGGACGTCCATACTGATCTTCTTGGTCTGGTTCCTGACCTTCTGGTGCCACTTCTGCCTCTGGCCGGCCAGCTTCTGTTGTTGCTGGCCCTGCGGCTGCGTCTGTTGCTCCGGCTGGGGCTGCTGCTGAGGTGGCTTCCGCCGTTGGTGCTGGTCCGGGCACTTCTGACCAAGGTGCTGGCACTGTGGTCGATGACGGTGGCTCTGTGGCTGTGGGGCCATCTAGTGAGCCTTCGGCCCACTCTTCGCCTGAGCTTATCCCTGCCTCACCTGAGGACGCTGGCCCTGACGCTGCTCCTGACGTCGCTGGGGCGGTTGCAGCTGGGTCTGATGCCTGTGACGCTGTTTTGCATCTGAGGAGGTGCCTTCCGAGCCCAGCAGTGAGGCCGGAGATGTGGCGCCGTGGTGGTCGGCAACTTCGGTTGTTGACTTGAACGCCATGGACGGCATGGATGATGGTGTGGCTCCGGCTGTGCCTGTTGAGCTTTTGGTTTCTGAGGACACCGCCGTCGACGACCCCCCGCTGGCTCCTCCTTCTGATCCACCGGGCTTGGGCGCTGGAGCTCCAGCCTTTGCCACGCCGACTGTGGCTGCGCCTCCGCCGTCTTTGCCGACGGCCCCTGCTGCGTCTGCTACTGATCCTTGGGCAGGGTATCAGGGACTAGCTGTGAGTGCTGGTCCCGCAACTGGTGGCAATCATGCCCGGCTTCGTATGACTGGTACGGCGAATTGCCCGTACGTGCTCGCCTGTGACGTGCGTGCGGGAATTCCGCTTGACCCTGCTGATCTGCAGCGCCACGGGCACAGTCTCACAGGCTGGTGCGCGACAGCATGTTGGGGCGACTGCGGGCATGCCTGCAGTCGCCCCGTTTCAGACTCGGCGCGACGGCCGCATAGACGCCACTTCTCCGACCGATGTCGTGATCTCTGATATGCTGTCTGTTTTTGGGGAAAAAGCTGGGCAGTTGCTCCCTGCCAGCCTGTTTGAGCGACTGCGGCCGGGGCACGGGCCCTTTGAATGTGCACACTCAGCTTGTCTGGCTCTGTGACCTGGGGCTGGGGCCTCGCTGCTGGGGGGCCTTTAGGCCGGTAGTGCTGTGTGAGCCTGTCTTTCTTGTGAGAGCCTTGCATTTTCTGTGCAGGTCGCGGCTCGTGGGGGCTTGTGCCCCAGTGGCTTGTGTCTCTTGTGAGCTTTCTGCCTTGATGCTCCTTAGGTCTCCTGCGGGGCCTTTGGTGCGCCTTGGCAGTCTGTGGCCTGCGAGGTGGGCTGACCACTTGTGTGCGAAGTCCATTGGTGGCCTTGGGCAGGTGTCTGGTGTGCCACCTGCTTCTGAGTCTGGCTGCTGCCTCGGGCTTGTGCCTCTTTTTCCCTGTGCACCTTGGTCGTGCCAGGTCTTACTTCCTGTTCCAGGCCGGGCTTGTGCCGGTGGTTGAGCCTTTTCGTAAACTCTGCTTGTGCAGGCTTTTCGTGGCTGCCTGTGGCCATCGTGGTCGAGGCCGGCTTTGCTCACTTGAGCTTGCCTGACTTGTGTCCTGGCAGGTCTCTGGATCTGGTGCTGCTGGGTCTGAGCCGTGCCTCTGACTCTGCTTCTGCACCTGTGTCTGTGATGGCGAGTGTGGCCGACAGTGCCGTGACGTTCGCCAGCAAAGCTCGTCAATACGGGCTGAGCCAGGGGGTGCTTGACAGTCTGTCTGCAGCTGGCATCACAACGTACTCTGCTTTACTTTTCGCAGTGGTGGGGCTGTGGACGAGGTCAGGCTTAAAGCAGCCAAAGATAAGCACCTGGGACCTGGTGCCTCTGAGGGTGCCGTCGCGGCCTTTTCGCGACTCCTCTTTGAGGCCGGGACTTTCGTCGTCGCCGAGCTCAGGAGTTCGGTGGCCAGTGAAGACGATGGCTCCAAGAAACTTACCTCTCAGGAGCGCACCAGTCGCATGGATGCATTGCGTTCCAAACTAGGAGCGTGGCCTATCACTGGCTCATTCGAGCCGAGCCATGTTCCTATTGATGCCGCTTTTGGGATGGTCGCTGATAGCTCTGTGCGCTACTTGCCACCTAGCAAGTGCAGTTCCCGTGAACAGGAAATTCTTTCAGAACGGCGTGACGACACGTTGTTTCGCCTTGAGGCCACTGCCCTGAAAGCTGCCAAAAAGCCTGTTCTGCCTAAGGTTGACCTTGGCAATGAACTGAGGTTGTATCAGGCACTTAGCAGGAGAGGTGTTGCACTGGAGGTCGCTGGCGTCTGTTCTTTTGCTGTGCATGAGAACTACGTGCGTGGCTTGCTGGACCACCTGCAGCGCATGCCGCCGCCTGGGTACTCTGCTCCTGGCATTGATGCCGTGTTGGCGGCTGATCGTGCTGTCTGGCAACAGGTTGCTGCTCAGGTTCCCTGCTTGCCTGCTGTGGACATTGTTGCTGCTAAGGTCGATGCTGCCTTGCTTGCTGCCGCTGGGGCTCCTGCTGTTGCTTTTCATGTCATGCCGCGTGAGAAGAAGCGGGCACTTGATGATCCCGCCAAGCCTCCGGGCAAGACGGGCAAGGGCGATGGCAAGGATAACCGTCCTGGCAAAGGCAAGGATAAAGGCGGCCGGGGAAAGGGGGGCAAGACCCCCGGTGGTGGCAAGCCCGGCTCTCCTGCAAAACAGACTGCTGTGCCGGCTGCCCTCAAAGGTCTGGACCCTAACAAAGATGGCACTCCTTTGCGCTTTGATCGCAACTTGGCTCACGGCTGCAAGCGTGAGACCTGGCAGACTCCGGCCGGGTTGCAGTGTGAGAAGGGGTTGCATTTGTGCATGAAGTGCGGCAGCCCCGACCATGGTGCGCACGCATGCAGCAATTGATCTGCTGACTCTGAGGTTGGGGCGTTTGGTGTCGCCGAGGTTGCTTCTTCCTCTGTGGATTGTCTCCTGGAGGTGCTGCCCTCTGGCACTGTTCCTGGGACACCTGTGTCCTCGCCTCAGAGCTTTGTGCCCACCTCTGCCGTGACTGTTGTGGCTGCGCCGGCTGTTCCTGCCGCTGGGGCTGCCCCTGTTGCGACAAATGCTGATACAAATTCTCCGACAACCATTTCTCCTTTTAATTTGCCGGCTGCTGATGAGCCGCCTCCTGCTGAGGTGTGCCCACCTGATGTGCCCGCTTTTTCAAGTGTGAGGGATTTTTCTTCTTTTCTTCCCGGGCCTTCTGCTGCCAGCCATCCTGATGTTGGCACGGCTCGTGCCTGTGTTGCTGTGGAGATCTTTGCTGGGTCCTGCAGGCTCAGCAAGTGCCTGAAGGCATCAGGCTTTGAGACCGTCGCCGTTGATGTGAAGGACGCTGCCGGCCACAAAGTGCTTAAGCTTGATTTGCTCTCCGCTGCAGGTTTGGCTGTGTTGTGGGAGATTCTGTGCTCAGGTCAGGTGTTGTATGTGCACATGGCGCCACCCTGCAGCACTGCTTCTGCTGCTCGCTTCATCCCAGGTGGGCCCCGGCCTTTGCGTGATGCTCGGCATCCTGATGGCCTCAGTGGTTTGAGCTTCTCCCAGCGTTTTCTGGTTCACAACGCAAACAGGCTTTATGCGCTGTGCAGGGACGTTGCGACTGACACAGCGCAACATTGGCTGGAGCATTGAAAATCCATCTTCTAGTTTGTTCTGGCTCACTTCTCCGATTGCGGCGCTTTGCAAGCAGCTTGGCAGTTCTCTGCATACTGTAGTTTTTGATCACTGCTGTTGGGGAGGCGACAGGCCCAAGCGCACTGCTCTGTGGAGCAATTTGCCTTGCCTCTCCTCGCTTGAGTCTCTGTGCTCCCGTGCCTTGGGGCATGTGCACAAACCCTGGGGCAGGCTGCCTGACGGTTCCTGGAGTACTAAGGTCGAGGCGGCTTACCCTGTGTTGCTGTGCCGTTTCTGGGCACACCTGCTCAAGGGCCACTGGGCATCTGTGCTGAACGCTCGTATGCAACCCAAGGATGTAAACTGGTCTGGGCCTGCGCGTCTTTTTGAAACGCGCCGAGCACTTGGGCTCTTTCCCAGAGGACGTCATCCTGGGGAACTCCGCAACCCTTTCAGTGACACTGTACCGGTAAGGTTGCCTCTGAGTACTGCTGCGCATCTTCTGGTTCCTGGTGCACACATCAGTGGTGCACCCAAGGGTTGTAAAGTCCTTTCCTGTGTTAAGGAGGCCTCTTCTTGGCTCGTGGAAGTTGGTGTTCCCTGCGAGCCCGAGTCCTTCATGAAGTCGGCTGCCTCCTTCAGGCACCCTTCTGAATGTGATTCTGAGTTGCCTGCTGACCTGGAGGAGACGTTGTCAGCCGTTTCTCGCATGAGCTGTGCCGAGCTTGCGCGTCGTAGGTGCCGCTTTTTGCACAGCATTCTTCAGAGGTCCCAGGAGTTGGCACAACGGGAGGTTGCACTGCACTCTGGTTTAGCTCCGCATGCTAATGCTGTGCTTCAAGGCAAGCGCCTGCTGTTGTTGGAAGAGCTTCTGTCTAGCCTTGGGCACGAGGACACAGGTCTGGTCCGTGACATTTGCTCTGGTTTCAAGCTCACAGGCTGGCTTGCGGCGTCATGGAGTCATGGAGCCCAAGATGACTGCTCCCTCTGAGTCTGCTTCCAACTTGTGGCGGCAGCGCGCTGACCTTAACTCTAAGGCCTGGAACCAGACTGGTCCCACTACTTCTGAGGAGCTTGACCGCTCCCTGTGGGAAGCCACTGTAAAGGACGCCTCTAGTGGGTGGGCCATGCTGTTACCGGCTTCTGCAGAGCCCCCCTCTGATGTGCTGCTGAGCCGTAGGTTTGCTGTTCTTCAAGGTGACAAGGTCAGGGGTGTCGACGAGTTCAGCTTCAGTGGCCTGAACGACACTTTGGGCACCTGCGAGAAGGTGACAACGATGTCCACTGCACACACTGTGTCCTTAGGCCTGCGTTTGCTGAGGATCGCTAAGACCCGCGGCATGCGGCTTCTCGGCCGTTGCTTTGACTTGAAGAGTGCGTATCGGCAGCTGCCGATCCACCTGGAGGATTTGCCGGATGCCGCTGTCACTGTGTGGTCTCCTGAAGATCAGGCTGTCAGAGTGCTGCAGATGTTTGCGCTTCCCTTTGGTGCCGGTGGTAGTGTTCCCGGGTTTGTTAGGGTTTCATTGGCACTGTGGCGCATTCTCTGCCGACTGGCCCTGGTGCCTGCTACACTGTTTTTTGACGATTACACATGCATTGTGCTGGAATCTGATGCTGTCAACGCTGAGGCCTCTGTGCACATGCTGTTTCGCATTCTGGGTTGGAGGCTGGCGCTTGAGGGCGACAAGGCTATGCCCTTTTCTCAAGTTTTTCAGTCACTTGGTGTTGTTTTCCTGCTGACTCCTGGTGTAGACTGCAGCCTGTCCGTCTGTAACACCGAGAGCAGGAAGGCAGAGGTGGCTGCTTGGTGCCTTGAAAAGCTGAGGTTGGGGACTGCTTCCCCCAAGGAATGCGAGCAGTTTGCCAGTAGGGTCAGGTGGTTGTCTGGTCAGGTTTTTGGGCGCACTTCTGGCTCCGCCCTTCGTGCCCTCCTTGCAGCCGGTCGTGCTGACAAGCCGCATAGTGCCAGAGAATTGTCCCAGGAACTGCGTTGGGCAATAAGATGGATCCTGGAGCATATTCCCAAGGGTCAGGCTAAGGTCTGGTCACTTGCAAGCCGCAAGAAGCTGCACCTGTTCACTGATAGAACTTTTGAAAATGGCAAAGCTTCCATTGGTGGCGTCCTCTGCGATGGCTGGTGCCAGCCTTTACAGTGGTTTGGTTGTGAGGTTCCACAGGTTGTTACTGCAGGTTGGTTGACTGAAGGCTGCGAACATCCCATCATTCAGGCTGAGCTTCTGGCCGTTGCTGCCTCAGTCATGTGCTGGAGTACTGCTCTGCGTGACTCCAACACGTGCGCCTGGGTTGATAATGAGGTGGTCCGTTTTGGGGTTATTAATTGGTTTGTCAGGCCTTCGAGTGCCATGTGCATTCTGGAGCGCATGTTGCGCCTGGAGGCTGCTCTTGGCATCCAGCTGTGGGTATGCCGTGTTCCTTCCACAGCAACCCTGCCGATGGGCCCAGTCGTGGCTTGTGCCCTTCCTTCCTGTCCAAGGCCAAGGAGATTAAATTAGACGTGGGGGATCTGGTCTCCTTGGCCAGCGGCACTTAAAGGTACTGGGGCTTCGGGGCCGCTGGCCAGACTGTCAGGGTCGTAGGCTGTCGGCTGCACTCTGTACTGTGCTGCCTCTGTCGGCTGCACTCTGTACTGTGCTGCCTCTGTGACAGCTGAGCGGCTTTTCGATCTGCGACGAGCTGCCCCACGTGTAAAAGGTTTGAGTGTCTTGCATCTGCACTGCATGCTGATGCTTGTTACAGTAGAGTGCGTGCATTAAGTTGGCTATGTCTTGACATGCTACTTTAATGTGCCGCGCGGCCATTTTGGCTTAAGTGCTGTTTTTCTGTTGCCCGCCCTCCCATCCCTATGAGAAGTGACACTGACCCTTTCTGGGCTCATGGCTTGGGCTTCGGCCCTGTCAGGTGTCGAGGTCAACGGCTGCAGCTCCCATGGGAAGCTGGCCCTTTTTCCTTTCTGACGACTCAGCAGTCTGACTTGCAGCGGTCCTTGGATGACCTGTTGCGAGCTGCCTGCACTGGCTCTGCTGCTGGTCTTCAGGCTGTTCTGTCTGCCTCTGCTTTCAAGCAGCCTGGAAGAGCAAAAAGGTTTGGCTGGAGTTCTCAGGAAGAGCGCACCCGCCGAGTTCAGGCTTTGTGCAAGTGGTCGAACTTGCTGAAGCTGGCTCCTGAGCTCTTCTGTTCTGCGACTGTGGCCAAATTGCCTTCTGAAGGTGATGAATCCATGGTGGAACACTTGGACCTCCTGTTCAGTAAGAAGAGCACGAACACTGTTTTGACGAGGGCTTCGCCCTTGACTAGGTCCGACTAGGTTTGTTGTGTGGAGGCGCCGCACCTGCCCTGAGGACTCCTTTTGTGAGAGTGTCCTTTGGGTGCACTGCCGTTGGCTGCAGAGCACTGCGGCTGCTTCCAGCATAGACTCTTTTGTGCAGAGCCTGAACTTCGTGCACGGCACCCTGGGTCTGCGCGTTTCTGTTCAGGAACTTCTGTCTGCTCGTGTGCGTGGCCTGGCCCATGCGCACTTGCGCACTAAGGAAGAAGTCGACCAGGCTCCCGCTCTTACTGTGTCTCAGCTTAGGTGGTTGGAGTACTACGCTGCCACTGTGGACGACCTGTACGAACGCCTGGTTGCCTCCACCCTCTGCTTCATGGTCCACGCTCGTGCTCGGCGCAGTGATCTTCGCAGGTCCACTCACATTGAGTTTGACCTGTCGCCTGGTGGCTTGGATGGTTTCGTGGAGTGTCGCGTGAAGAACCCGAAGCAGGCGAGGGCGTCGAGCAGAAGGAACTTGTTCATGCCTTTGACTGCACTTTTCTGCGGGCTGTCTGATGTGCCCTGGGGAGCTACTTTTTTGGCTGTCAGACAAGCCAACCGTCTGGAGACTGCTGGCGCTCTGGATCACCCTCTGCTACCTGGACTCACTGCTGCTGGTCAATGGTTGCAGGAGTGCGTCAGCAGCAGTCAACTGACTCAGTGGCTACGCTGCATCCTGGCCAAAGCCCCTGATGCTGACCTGGCTTCTGTGGCAGCTGTTCGGAGTCACAGCTGCAAGGCCACTTTGCTGAGCTGGGGTGCCAAAGCTGGTCTCTCTGACAAGACTTTGACATTCCTTGGCTACCACAGCCATGGGGTGAACATGGCCAGTGTGGGTTACCGCCGTGACGTGCTAGCTGGGCCTTTGCGTGAGCTGTGGCAGGTGGTCTCTGCCGTGCGCTCTGGGAAGTCCCAACCTGACGTCACCAGGAGTGGTCGCTGGCAGGAGCCTGCTAGTCCTGTGAGTTCTGCTTCTGCCTCTCTGGTGACTTCTCCGCCGAGCAGTTCTGAGAAAAAGTCGTCTGCTGCTGTGAAGGTCCTGGACGCTGCTGTGACCAGCAGCTCTAGTGGGTCCTCTGAAGCTTCCTGTGAGAGCGACGATGGCGCAGAGCAGCTGGTTGCGGCGGCTCCTCACTTTGTGGAGAACATTCTGGGCCTTGGCGGATATGCTGTTGCAGGCAACAGGAAGAACAAGCTGATGCATATTGTCAAGCAGTCCACTGGTCGATTGCTGTGTGGACGCATACTGAACGATTCTTTCGAGGTCACTTCTGAGACTGATGCTGGTGCGGGTAGATTCTGTCGTACTTGTAAAACCTGTGCCCTGGCCTCTGTGTAGTTGCCTCGGGGCTTCGGGGCCGCTGGCCAGACTGTCAGACCGGTCGTAGGCTGTCGGCTGCACTGTGTACTGTGCTGCCTCTGTCGGCTGCACTCTGTACTGTGCTGCCTCTGTGACAGCTGAGCGGCTTTTCGGTCTGCGACTGAGACTGTACAAGCTTGAGCTGCCCCACGTGTAAAAGGTTTGAGTGTCTTGCATCTGCACTGCATGCTGATGCTTGTTACAGTAGAGAGCGTGCATTAAGAGGGTTGCATGGCGATGGTGATGGTGGCAGATACTCTTTTGAAGGTATTAATATGATGAAGATGACGACGACAAGGATGATGTTGACCATGGTCTGATTGTCGACTCATGTCCCGGTCTAGAGCAGCACAACATCATGAGCAGTATCACCGGTGCCACAGAAAGAGGGAAGACAAGGAGTAACACAGAAGAACGTCCCCAGCCCCCCCAGTGGTATGGTCTGCTACGGTGGGGGGGGGCTGGCGTGTGCGGAAAGGGGTCGGTGTTGGAGCTGCCACTGGATGGTGCTGGCGACCAGGGCTCGCACGCAAGCCCTTCGCAAGCAAGCCGTAAATCCTATAACGCAGCGCGTGCCCCTGTTTTGAGTAACCTTAACTTGTACTTCAAACCCGACACCCAACCCTAAACCCCACCTAACTGCAGGCTCTAAGCCTAAAGCAGAACATACACCGCAAATCCTCCCTAAGCCCTTGTCGACTCGAAGCGCTATACCTTGTACCAGTAGCCGTAAACCCAACACTCAAAAGCTTAAGCTAAACCCAAAACCCCAAAACCCCACAACCACCCCACAGGGTGAAGAGGGACCCCACACCCCACACCACAGGGGAGGGGGGTCCCTATATCCGGACCATTGACCTTTGGGGGGGGAGGTGGGGCCGCGGAGCGCGTGACCTTTTATGGTGCAGCGCTGCAAGACCCCCCTCCGTCCCCCTGCATGGTATCCCCCCTCCCCGCTCGTGGTTCTTTGTGGTGTGGGTATGTGGTGGGCGGCATCGATTGTAGGAGAAGGGTGGAAGATCTGAGTATCGTCTCTGGCAGATTCGACACGACCCAGCGCCATTCGCCTTGGTAGTGACTCAGATTGAATCCACGGCATTCCCTGGCCTAGGAGCTTCTACTGGCTTTTTGTCCCCGTGGGCATCGGCCTTGCCTTGGTCCGGAAGCCCAGAAGACTGAAAGGAGAAGACTTAGTGACTCAGTACTTCGGCCCTCGGCCCCTGTTTTCAGCGATGCGACTCCGTACATGGAGGGCCCCAGTCCCGAGCAACCCTGACATTGCAGCGTTCGAGCAAAGAAGAAGCTCCAGAGTTCCGCCGTGCACGGAAGCACAGACACCGCATTTAAGTTTAGATGGTTGTGCTTTGAACTTGAGAGAACTGGTGCGGAGCAAACTCCGGCGCCACTGGCCCTCCCAAATCACCATCCGTTTCCTGAGACGTTGTACTACCTGAACATCACCTACTCAGACTTCAAGGCCGCTTGGATCTCCTAAGCCTTAACGGGCCAGAGCGTGATGCCGAATCTTCCCGACGGCCCGACCAGGAGCGCTCCGTGGGACTGGTGTCGTATGCCGATGTGTCGCGCCCTCACGCACCGAGCTTGTGAAATGTCCGCAGCACGCTTTTGTTTTAAGAAGCCTCGTTTAAATGGGGATTCCTCCTGCAGCTGGAAAAGGACCCGCAGTGCCAGACCGGCATTCAAGACTTCTGTTGCATCTGCCACCTGAGGGCCGACTGCTGCATTGGACGGTTGGCTGAAGGGTTGAAGGTTGTTCGTGGCGAAACGACAGTTTCATAAAATGGAAGACGTCATAGCCCACAACGATGGACAACAACAAACCAACAAAGCGACTTCGGTACAAAACCAGCCAAGAAGCTTTGCAAAATAGTGGACGGCCACCATCATTTTGAGATAGCCGACTGCGACTTCTTTCAAAATGTGCGATTCGAAGATTCCAACCATGCTGCATTCTGTTGGCCGTGTCGTCCCGAATCTGGTCGTCTTCTTTAAGAATAATAGAAATGCCATCTCAAACCCAGGAGATCCCTGGGAGGCCACGTTCACGATACCGAGCTCATGCATCAGGTGTGGCAGCGATGCCTTTGAGCTGAAGCAGCTTTTCTTCCCAAGTCAACCGCTCAGAAGGGGGGGCAGAGGCGATTGTAACATGTTGTAGATGGATGGATGTACATGCTTTGTATGGCATACAGCCCACGACATCTTAGCATGCGTACACCTTCAATGGACTACATGTACCGCTTGTACCAATACTTAGACGTACACCTACGTTTCCAGTTTACACTCTTCCTTACGCTGACACTATAATGCTAGCACTTGCACGGGCACCTACACATGCACGCACGCACACGCACGCACACGCACGCACACGCACGCACACGCACGCACACGCACGCAAACAGAGACACGCACACACAGAGTCGCGCGTGCGTGTGCGTGAGTGAGTGAGTGAGTGAGTGAGGCGGTGAGTGAGCGAGTGAGTGAGTGAGTCTCTCTGTGCGTTTGCGTGCGGGTGCACTTTGAGTGTACCGGCTGAAGAGACGTTGCTGCGGATACTTCGTCTCAGCCCATAGTCATCTTCCAACCCAAACCTCAGATGCGGAGTGCGTCGAGCCACTGTGGAAGATGACGAAGGAGGCCGGCAAGAGGGCGTACATGTTCTTGCGAAGGAGGCTTGAGCACAGATTGTGATTGTGTTATCATTGAAGTTAGATGTCTTGGTCAGCAAAGTTTTTTTGGAGGTACGTGCTTCTTTTTTTGACTGACCCGAAGCGTGTTGCATGCCCCATGCATTCGTGCTTGCTGATGTTTGATCCATCTCGGTGGACTGAGGAGTTCGAGGATTCACAGCGTCAGGCAGGGAGACCCAAAAGTGGCGTTCAATTTGCGACGGTGCCAGATCACCTACCTACATCTGTGTCAGCTAGACTCATGCAGCGTGTCTCAAACTTCGCACTCATCGCGCCGTCGCATTCTCTTCTTCACGTGGTGAGTGACTGCCTTGCTCGACGAACAAGTCCACTACAAGTGTGTCAAGGGAGTCGGGAGCCAGACAAACGAACGGACCAACAGCTGTGGGATCGCTCGTTTTGGCAGCCACCAAGTTCCAGGCTGAAGTCGGCGTGGGTTCCGCAGAAAAGAAGCTGCCGAAGACCGCCCAGCAGATCTTGAAAGAGCTCCAGGCCAGAATAGCCGCCGGCCGTGTTGAAACCAAGACCTTGCCATGTGATAAGGATTTATTGTCACGAGCCAAAGGCACCCAGCATGCGGTTTAAGAAGCAGTACATGCAGTAGCAGTGCACATTCAGCAGTAGTGACTGGTATTGTTGTTGGTCGTGATGGTGGTTGCAGCAGTGCAAGAGTGGTAATCAGTAGTAGTTGCAGGATGGTGGTAGTGAGCAAGAGGAGGAGAGGAGGAACTGGATTGGATGAGCCGCAGCTGCAGTGCAATAGGAGACTGAGTAGTCACGATAGGGGGAGGAACAGTAGTGGTGGTCGTGATGGTGGTCATGATGTTGATCGGCGGTGGTGGCGGTGATGGTTGTGGCGATGGTGGTTGAAGGGGTGGAATGCCAGAGGTGGCAAGGCAGTGGGAACATTAAAACGAATAGCAGGCAATAACTGGTAACAGTTGCGCTATCAATACCGCTGGCAGAAGTTTCGGAATCACGAGTTTCGCAACAACACCAAGCTGCCAAATCCGTTCTTTCTTCCAATGTCTTCAGGAAGCCAAGAGTTAGTCTCCGAGGCTGACCGATGCAGTGCTCCTTGTTACACCCGTTTGTATGCATCGGCCGTCGTGGGGTGACATCTCTTGCACTTCGATGCCTGGAAGATGGTTTTGGCAGTGTTTGGTTTTTGGTTGGGCTCCGTTTCCTCCAAAGGGTAAGCTTTAGCAGCATAGCGAAGAAGAGCGCCGGAGGTTTTGTCTGCAGAGGCTTATATAATACTTGTCAAGAAGCAACTATCGCGGCTATGGTGGAGAACAGAGTTGCTAATAGGCCATCCAGGCGCATCCGTCGGCTGGTGTAGGGTCTGTGATCAGAGAGACTGCAGCAAAGACAAATCTTCTGCAAAGCCCTTTACAGCCTGACCGGAGGTTGTCCCTCGAACTTGGTGGCTCACGGTGGTCGGTCTCGGCGGCGAGCCAGTGACCGACCCGGCTTGGCTGGTGATACGCCTGGCCGAACACCATGATACAGTATGTGCACGTATCATTGGTACGAGCTGCAGGCGATCATCCAAGTTTTTCAGCTGGGGCAGTAAAGCCTTGCCTGCTCGATCAAAGACGGGTCAGAACTGGAAGGGACCCAGCAGCTGTACTGTAACCTGACGGTGTTGATTTCTCGAAAACTTGGACAACGGGTGCAGGGGTTCCTGAGTTTGCAGGCATATGCAGGCATCCACGCGCCACCCACGGTGCTTGAGCATCTGGGAAGTTGCGCGTAAGACCACGTGACGACTCGACCTGGTCACAGCAGAAACAGCGTTTGGCATCCTCTTCTCTCTGCGAGAATCTGAGCCGCAGTGGTCCTTGTGCTACATTGCCCTGACTAGTTTACAGCTGTCGGAGCTGCCGTCCAGTTCCTCCAGCAGCATCACTTTGTGCATCACCAGCGCCGGAATATCAGTTTCATTGTCTGATTTGGCAGCTTGGCTCATGCTCGTTGCTTTCATGTCACCAGTTGTGCTAATGAAGATCATGGGTGCCCAGATACACCTAGAGGGAGTCCCACACATCGCTCTAGACCTCTCTTGCTAGAAGGTTTCTCCATGCTGCACCATGCACCGTCGAACATGTCCCTCAACTGATGTTGCTCTGAAGCCACAGTGATGGACCTATGCTGGATGTGTGCTGGCATAGACAGCGAAAGCTGCAGCATCTGCAGAGGCGCTGGCACGCAGGCGCAGCTGCTCTGCATCGCACTGCTTTGCAATGCAATGAAAGTCTTGAAGCGTTGAAAACAGCAGGGCCCGGAGCCTCCGCGAGATCGGCTCCTTCAGAGCAAAGCCCAGGCCGAGGCCGAGCCAGAGGTAGAGATCCAGCGGCGTTTCATCGTCGGCTTCGTAGTTATGAATGGCTCTTTAACGTCTTAGTCCCTCCTTGTCTTTCTGTTTCTGGGTGCAGGGTTTTTCTCCCACAAGCGTTGTTTCCTTGCATTCAGCTTTGTAGCTTTCCAGACCGTAGACCGTTAAAAGTAGCAAGTATGATTTTGGATTCAGGTGGTCCCTCCTGATGCTCCCGTGATCTGAGGAAGCAGCCATGTGTTCCAAAACGAAGAAGTACACCGCTCGTGCCAGCAGGTGGGATCTCAGAAGTCCAGGTGTTGCTGACGTTGATCCTGAATGCTCCTACAGGTTCGGATTCCGTAACAAAAGGGACACCAGGGCAAGGCTTGCCAAGCGCAGGCTACAGAATCAGAAACGCATGGGGCTAAGGGGATCGAAGGGGTGACGTTGGCTGCTCCTGCAGGCAAGAGGAGGAACAACAAGCGTTCGAGCAAGAGCCTGGGCTAAACCCTGTTGCCTTCCAATTGTCCAGAGATGCAGTTACGTCAGGTCGCCGCCGAGTAGATGCATAATCAAGATCACAAGATCACTGCACCTGGCTGGGGCTCCCATCTAGCAGGAAGAAGTTGGTGCTGGCAGCTTGTGAATTCGAGCGGCTCGCGATGGGAATCCGACAGGTTCGAATGTCTCTTCTTCGATCTAGCCCATAGTACAGGCGGGATTTCTGCTCTGTCGAACTTGAAGTTCAACCTCTTGAGGAGCGGCTGCTTCGGCAAAAACAGGAGGACGAACGCAGAGCCCGGGAACGGCAGATGCTTGGCATCATTCGGAGTTCACGGCAACAGCGAGGCTTCACATGTGCATGTTTCTCCGTATAGTTCTGCAGTCTGGATCTGCATGTGAGGCCGCAAACTATGGCCGCTCCAAGAACGCCCGAACCTGCAAGAGGTCCAATGGCCACGCCTTACAGCGCCGAGGCAAAGTTCACAGAGGGGAAACTACTGCATTCATGTCATGAGCCGCTGATTCTTGCGATGATGCGAACCTTGGAGGCTTGACTGAATCGCGTCGTAAGCCCTCTAGCATCCCCTAGCCGCTCTCCCCAGACCAGCCATTCAGTCACTCCTTCTGTATCACGTTGTCGAACCCAGGGGAAGGTTCGCAGATCTTCGGGCTCTTGTTGGAGCCGCTTGGGGTGCTTCCGGACGCGAACACTGTGCAGTTTGCAGTGATGTGCGGTGCGTGCCTGTTGTTGGCAGGCCTCCCGCCAAGCAAGAGCCTTTAGCCACTTCGCGGAGAAGGCAGCTCCTCAGGCATCTCCAGAGGCATCTCCGCGGAAGCTTTTACCCGAATCAGTGAAAAAGGTCAGTCGACTGAACAGTGCGAGTAATGCGAGGCAGCTAAACGGCGAGCCCTGTCATCCTGGGGTATTCGATGTCCCTGCCTCCGAGACACCAGGTGGACAGCGATGTCAATCCCGTGCCCGAGAAGCCGAAAGTGAAGCGTTCCAACCCACGAGCCGACAAGTTGGACGCGCAACTCGTTGCACTCATGGTTTCGAGGCTCGGATTTTGCGAGGGCTCCTCTAAGAGGTGCTTTGAGCGAATCACCTTTGAGCGAGGTTTTGACAGCTCTGCTCCTGCAAGTGCTATCTTGTTGCGTGTTCTTCTCGGCATGGGATGTCGTTCTCCTGGACAATCCGTGACAATGCGCCATGAAGGATTCAGAAACTGCAGCTTGCAGCAGTCCAACATCAAGTGCTTAGGCAGATGGCGGCTTTGGAGCAGCTAATGGCTGCAGAGCAGACTGTGTTTGCGCCCCCTGCCGCCGGCTATGATCGCATGCCGAGCCTTTCCGGCATATGAGCCACGATCAGTATTCGGCGCAGTAGGGCCTTGCCGAGGAGTGTTGAACAAAGGTTTTTTTAGTACCAGTGGATAGTGGAGTCAGCAAGCCCTCCATGCCTGCATAACTCATCATCATCGCTTCTGCATTTGACGTCTCGTGCTTGAGGTTTGCCGCAGATCACCTCGAAGCAACGAAAAAGAGTGGAGTGGACGCAGGGAAGCCGTCTGAAGGATTTGTCTCTCGTACCAATCAGCCTCCACGCCAGAAGAAGCTCATTCCACAAAGCGACACTTGGCTGAAAGTGACTACGCCCATCTGCGCCCTCAGCGCCTCCTCGTGTGGTTTGTCTCTTCGGTGAAGGAGATGCCACGGCAGCTGCCGTCTGCTATGGCGAGCCCAACTTCTGGTCCCGCAGTGCTAAGCCCATCAGTCGCCTCCTTGCATCTGCATCTACAGCAGCATTCGCAGGCGCAGGCTTGGGCTTTTGTGCAGGTTTTGGACAGGCATTGCACGTTTGGAGATGGCAGCCAGAAGCCAGAAGCACGATGATCTATGTCCCCCTGTGCTTCCAGCGAGTGTGCATCACAAGATTGTGCAAGACAGATTTTTCGTACATTGAAATTGCCGAACGCTTTCGCCGCATGGCAGGCATCAGCCCAGCCCAAGAGCTTCAGCAAAGAAGCAAGCGAGCTCCTAGGCTCATGTCTGACTCAGAGCAGGGAATGTGCGCAGTGCAATTTCATGAAGTGTCCGACATTGAGATTGCCTCGTGCTGAGGCACATGACAGTACAAAGTTAGCAAGAGTAACGACCAGCGTTGATTTGAATGGTCGCGGGGGGATAGGTCTCGAATGGTTTTCCGCAGCAGCCGCTGCCACGCACTGCCTAGACCCTGTCCACAGGTGCCTGTGCAGACTCGTGCAAAACAGTCAGACTATGTCACCATATGTATGTATGTATGTATATATATATATATATATTAATTAATATTAATATTATACAGAAATATTCCGGCAGAGTCCACTTGCTCGTCTACAGCGAGGCGAAACACAATCTGTATGTGTCTACAATCGAAGTTCCGTGATGTTCCGTGTTCATGCAGTATCCCGGGCCCCTTGTCTATCTGTGATCCTGTCTCGTCTGTTCTGCATCTACAACATATATGCGAAGGCAGATGACCAAGTTCAAACACTCAAACACACATCAGGTGCACATTATGTGTAGATGTGAAGCTTGGATTTTCATGATTTACAATGCACATACATGAAGCAACCCCACTGTTGTCAACCACAGCCGTGCCAACAGTGCAAGCCGTGAACACAAGGAGTTCGACCTCAAGGCGAACAGCCCTCGACGAGGAGCATCTGGTGTTGAGGGATTTAGCCAATCAGCGAGGAGGTCTTGCCTTTGTTTCTACTCCCTACGTACATGCATACGAAGATGCACTGTTAGCCTGCAGTTTTTTTTGAGAATCTGATTCGGAATCCTATGCTGCTGTGTAATTTGTGTACCATCTTGATTTGGTCTTCGGCTTCGACATTTTGACACCAGTGCTATCAGCTATCAGACGTGTTTCTCAATTTCATGTGCCTTCTCACCCTTTCAACTCTCTTGCAAGTTGACGTGCTGCAACCAAGAACAGCAAGGAGACCACTGCAGCAACCACAGCACATCCTGTCAGAGCTTGCATCGCCTCGCTTGACGCGCGTGATCGCATTCGTGTGGTATCCTGTTTTCTTTGCTTTTGCTGCTGCTGATGCCTTCAGATCTTGCGGTCAAGCACCAATTGAGGACGCCGCAGAGCTCCCTTCCTTCGCAGATTTGGGAAGCTTGGTGTGTGGTTTCTCCGGTTTTCTCTGGGCAGAGTTGACACGGATGATGGTTACTTTGGGACTGCAGTAAAAGCTTAGGTGGTGGACTTTCCTCGCAAGCGCTCAAAACTCAATATCGTTCGTATACACTGCGCCAGGGTCCTGATTGAATGAAACGAAGAATCAAACTCCAGGTCCACGCTGTCATTCTTGGTCATCCTGCACTCTCGACCCATGCAGCCCAGCCCCCGTGAAAAGCCCGCTGGGAAGGGGGAAGGAGGAGGGAGCAAGGAGGGTTGGAGATTTCTCGTGGTCGGGGCGCACACTCAACGCAGCTCCATAAGATGGAGGTCGTCATGTCTTGTCTTACGGCCGCATCGAGCCTCGTACCTTACGAGCCGTTGGCTCGACAACCTCGTCTAGACCCCCTTGGCAAAGATAAGACGGCAAGATGATGCTACTGTCGAGGGAATGATTATCGTGGTGATGGGTTTTGCGGTCTGTAAATTCAGATTGGGTTGACTGCTTGCATTGTAGCGTGTGAGTACAGTCTGCTTCTCTGTGCTCTCCGTTTGATATAGTGCCGTGGCATATCTATCAAGTTCTATCAGAATCAGCACACCTTGCCTCGGTATTTTTGTTCGTCTCGTCAACGACAGTGCGGTTGGAGGCATGAAGCGTCGTGGATATGTGCATAGAGCGACACAGCGATTAAGTCCTCTTGCCCATGGTGTCGGCATTGAGGCTGATGCTCGTCGCAGTAATGATGGTAAACCCGTGATGATCAAGGTCAAGTTGCTGATGGCAATGTTGTTAATCAGGATATGATGTTGATGATGCCCATGAGGATGGTGATTATGGTGTTGATGAGGACGATGGTGCTCCAGGCGTGAGAAGAAGATGTGGTCTGTGCCGACAGTCAACCACAATGCATATCATTATTAGCATCGTTGTCATCCTGTCATCACATACTATCAGCATACTTATGATGCTGAGAGCCGTGAGGATGATATTTTCAGTCGTGGACATACAAAGCTTTGTTTTTCCTTGTGGTCCCTTCACAATGAAGAAACTGCAGGCCACTATTGATCCAAGGACGAACCGACGAGAGGGCAGAGACGAAGTGTGTCGACCCGCTGTCGGCAGCTTGGACGCCAAAAACAAACCCAAGTTGCAGGGGCCCTGGCACTGTGACATTAACACGCTTCACCGAGTGCCCCTCAAGCTTGGAGGGCAACAGGGTGTGATGCTGCAGTTGCACATGCCTGGTTGCATATTGAGAGAGACACCCAGGAAAGCATGTGTGGGCCTCTTGGCCCCGAGAATTTCGCTCGAGACACACCTGATTGCTTACATCTGCAAAATTACGTATACATGTTTACATCTGCAAGAATATTGTACACATGCACACATGCATGGAATCTGCATACATGTGGACACAGGTACATCATGTCGGTACATTTGTGCAGCCTGACTTGGCAGACGGGCAAACAGACGATCGTCCGGACGGACTGATGGAAGCGGACGGACGGAGACACAAACGCACGAACATCGAAAAATATGTAGCATTCCAGATGTCTGAGGACCTGCTCCGCAAAGTCAGCATTGTTGAGCCGGAACGGTTGCGACCAAAGGAAAGCTCTGCTTCTCGGACGTGTTATGTCGGGTCTTGGCGTGGAAGCACTCCAAGATTTGATGAAAGACTTGCACCGTATGGCCGTAAGCACTGCTGGATCATCTATCTAAGCAAGCCATGCACACGTTCGTGCCAAGGTGTAGAATCAGCTGCTTGCAGCGAATCCTTTTGCGTCCTTCAAGCCATTGCACCCGAGCCCTGAATTCCTTGGCACTGTTATTGCCCTGTCCATTGTATTTGCTTTCGGCAGGCGATTGCACCGGTCAGTTTGCACTTCAGCTCGCGACCAGCGAAGTGGCGTCAAGAAAAGCATGCCCAAGTTCGGCTCTGAAGCTGGGGAAAGTTAAATCTTTGATGCGACAATGCGGTCTTCTCATGCCTCGCGCATAGCTCACTTGATCGCAACTACGGATCGCTCCTACCTACTTGTGCCATGGCTGCTACTCTACTACTGCTACTACAGCTGCTAATTACTACTACTACTACTACTACTACTACTACTACTACTACTACTACTACTACTACTACTATCACCACTACTACTACTACTACTACTACTACTACGACGACGACTACTACTACTACTACTACTACTACTACTACTACCGCTACCACTGCTACTGCTACCACTACCACTGGCACTATCCGTACTACTGCTACTACTACTACTACTGCTACTACTAGGACTGATACTACTACTAGTACTACTACTAATACTACTGTATCTACTTTCCCCGGATTACTTCTTACTTACTCCTACTCTTACTACTACATCAACTTCACTTCTGCTCTACTATTACTACTACTACGACTACGACCGCCTACTGCTTCTGCGCTCCTCCTGTGCCTTGCTACTGCTACTCTAACAAGCATCATTTGAGTAGTGTTTTTTTTGGCCGTGTCTACGCGATGTCAGGAGGTCTTGTATTCAGGTGCTTGCGTAGCCATTTTAGCTGGGAAGCGTAGTCCCGCCCAGGGTTTTGTAGGGCAAGGGCTGCGTAGGCGTGCGCGTGCAGTCGAAAGATCTGAGCTTGCTGTAGGGACTTCCCAAAGGCCGGAGCCGAAAGATCCGAGCTTGTTGTATATTGGACTTGCCAAAACCCTGAACGGAAAGATCCGAGCTTGCAGTCGGGACTTCTGGAGTCGAAAGCCCCTAGATTGTAGCAAGTATCGCTTTCGTAAACGCGGAACCAGTCAGCCTTATATCGCAGTTGCCAAATCCACCCAAATTGTCGGACTGACAGTGCGATTTCACGTAGGTCACGCGTAGGCAAAGCGTAGCCATCATAGTACTTTTGCCTCTCCTAGCCCTTCTTTCTTCTTTTCTGCTCTTAAGCAGTGTCGAGCAGCTCGTGCACATTGTCTGTTTTCCCAAATAGCCCTGAACAGGTATATAGGGTGTTGTTTGTTCCGTTAGTATCAAGATGCTATGGCCCCGACAACCAAAACGTGGAATGATCTGAGCAAGCAGCAGAAGTCCAAAATCTCAACGGAATGGTCCGAGAGCCTTTTGTCCCGTGCGGCATCCGAGGAGGAAACAACAAGCACGTTACGTAATGGTTTTCGTTAGTAAATACAGAAGAGGCTAGCCCAAAATCTGTGGAAATTAGCTTGGTTGCTTGAAAACCCAATTCGACCTTCACACTGCGCACGCGTGGCTGCGTAGGTAAGGTTGCTCTATAACGTATTTGTGTAGTTTCGAGCCCCATCTAAATTAGGGATCTATTGGAATCTCGTATAATCATTGATGATAGAAGAATAACCCGAATCATATAAATCAATGATTCATATATAAACCCTCCCCGTTACTTCTATTATCTATATCGATTATTCTTTTTTCCCCCGTATTTCCGTTACAGCTGGGTAGAGACTTCCCGTGCGATGCCTTTGCGGATGCCTGCGCAGATTCCTCCCATGCCGGCTTGGGTGGTTTTGTCAAGTTGCCGTCCGGCAAATGTGCCTGGTTCCGTCAGCACTTCTCCAACGCTGATTTGCACCAGCTCTTTCCATGGTTTCCACCCGGCACCTCTCCTCAAGCTTGCATCGCCGCACGGGAACTGCTTGGACAGATGGCCCTCCTGCGGGTGGTTGCCCTTTTCATCCCGGCGGCTTCTCACCCGGTTCATGTTACCACCCGATGTGATAACTCGCCGTCTGACTCCGCCTATCGACGGCCAGAGGCCTTTGTGACCTTCTCCCGGCTTACTTTGCCTGGCAGCGTTTCCTCAGTATCTCTACGTACATTGATCACGTTCCGGGTTTCCGTAACACGATAGCTGATGGCCTTAGCCGTGATGCTGACTCGGAATCTCTTGGTCTTTCTGATTCTGATCGAGTCGAGATCCCGTGGCTCCTCATTTCCCGTCTGCCCCGGCCATCCTATAGCCCTGCGGCTTCCCTGAATATCTCCCTTTTTCCGGCTATGGACTCTTGAATTGGCTGGGTTTTTCCCCGGTACGGCTAGTCCTCCTTTCTACTAAGGGGATCTATATCCTTGGCCGAAAACCCTGCCTGGTTTTCCCGGCACCGGGATTCTCCGATTCGGATCCGCCCGGTGCCCGCATACATACCGTAGCTTGTCTCAGGACCGGTCTCGTGATATACCGATCGGCCGGGTCCGGACTTCGCTGCCTGAGCCATCGGTAACATGGAAGTTGCTTCTGTTCATCTCTGGTGCCTGCACCTTATTACTGCCGTACCGCAGACGTAACGGACTAGTGCTTCCGGACAAACGGCCAGAGTTTGTTTCGATCCGATGCGGCTGTCAAATTCGGGCCAATGGGTTTCCTCGTGGAAAGACCCGCTGCCCCACAGTCACGGGGGCGCTGAGATCTGAAGTGCGCGAAGCCGAGAACCGCTTCAGTCGAAGGCTCAAGCAGTAAAGCGTGGCCTCCGTTAGATGATTAGATCTGGATTCAATAGCCTAGATGGAACGCAGCCAAGTGCAAGCATAGCTTTCGATGCCTACAACCTCCGCGAGCGATGCATAAGTTTTGCTACGAGGTCTCAAAAGAGAAAATACCGTGTTCGGAAGTTCGGGTAGCTAACCTGACTTCAACCGTGGCTCCTGCTCGCCATGGGGAGCGTGTTCTCCGAGGAAGCTGAGGCACGTCTGGCAAGTTGCTGTGGGATGTGAGCCTCAAAGGGCAAGTGATTATCAGATTGGCAGGAGCACGTTGCCCCTGTGCCGGTCCTCGCCTCATCGCTGTCCGGTTGCCAACCGGGCTGGGTGTTACTATGCAACGCTGTGCAGTATGAATCACTAGCCAGCTGGCTGCAGGGCAAGCATGCACAGATCCTTGAAATCCTGCAGAAGCCTAGTAGCTTTATGTAAGCCGTCGAAAGCATGCACGTGCACACCTTCATGCTCGTACTGTTACAGCGTTTTGGACCTTCATCCCCATCATGTAGAAGAGCAAATCCTGGGATTGTCAAGGTGTGTCTGCATGTCCACTGTGATGACGAATGCGTGGCGACGTGCCCTGCCGCATTTGCATGCCATTAGATTCCTGAATGGACTCGCAAAGTGCATGCTGTGGTCGGGAGGCCAAAATCTGCTTTGACAAGCACTGTGGCGCCAGACTCGCCGGAAGTGATGATGACGGAGGCGTAATTGAGAGAGACGCTGCAGATTGCAGGATTCGCAGGCGTGTTCAACACCATCTGCTTTGCAGGAGAGCCTCGCCGCAGACGTGCGAGCTGTTGGCACGCTGCCGTTGGAGCAAGATGCTCTTCAAGTCATGCTCCTTTGGCGTGTTCAGTTGTGGCCACGGCCACTGGTTCTGCGAAATATGGCTTGGTACTTGCCAATATACGAGTTTTCTGGAGCCGCTGGCTCACTCATGGCAGGTCCATCGATGAACGCATCGACGAGGGCGTTGCCACGTGCCCTGGCCGAAGTGTTACAATACATCAAACGCAGGCGATCCGAGCTGGACAAAACCAGCTTGTTCTTGCGGCATCATGCGTTCCCCACAAGCCCATGGCTTGTTTCACTTTGTGGTTTCAGGCCAACCTCCGGTCTTACAAACGTCGTGCCCGACTCGGCCTGAGTGACCCTTAAACCGAGGGATCAGTAGAGTAGAATCATAGGCCGCGTGAGAATGCGCTGGGGCTCGTGCAAGATGTTTGAAGATAAGTTTGCAAGGCAGACGGCTGGTGCGCAGCTCTGTTCAACGCTGTCGTGGACTACCTTCCTGCGTGGACAGCCTTTGAGGTGCCGCCGTCACGCTCGCGGATTCCAGGAGTAGCATATAGAATCGTACCCTTGTTTTGTTCGGGATGTTTGTAAAAGCATGCAGAGCTGCAGAGCAGACTCGATGCGGAAAATCGCTTCGTCTGAACACAAACCGCGCCCTTCTCCCCAGCAGATCTCTTCAGTTCGACCCGGCCGGAAAAATGATTACAGTTAGGGACTCCGCATCACCCAAGATTTAGCACGACACTGTTCGTGGGAGGGAAGAGATTGGGAAAAAGGCACAGCTAACTTTTGGGAGGTTATAGTAGAACAGGGGGGACGGTTACAGCCTGCGGGTTACAGAATATGTTGCTGGATCTGAGCCGTGCAGGATTTGCAGGGGCTCTTCGCCGCAGATGCGCAAGCCATGCCCCTTTGGCATGTTCAGTTGTGGTCACAGCTGCGGGTTCTACGAAAGCTAGCCCGGTACTTGCAAGTGCAAGCTCTGGAACGCGGGTTGCGGGGAGCATGCCACGGCAGGTCCATCGATGAAAGCATTGACGAGTGCGTTGACACGTGCCCTGGCCGCATGCGGGCGCCATTACATTCCATGACCGATTCACGGAAACGTACAATTCATGCTGTGGTTGGGGCCTGGCATGACTGGCTAGTGTGGAGTTTATCGCACTCCGGCGCGTTCCCAGATCCACTGCGAACGCCCGAGATCCTTTTTCTGGTTAGCTCGAGGCCAGAATCTGGCCTGGACTCGCCAGAAGTGTTGGCAGAGGAGGCTAGATTGAGAGAGCGAGTCTGCAAATGTACGTTGCGTGCAAGCTCATGCACAAGTCCCTACCGCGTGTTGGGGCTTTGGGCTTGCAAGGCGGGCGGCTGGTGCACGGGTCTGTTCAACCTCCTCGTCGGGGAGGTGCCTCACGCAAGCTATCTCAAGCTTGTGGAATAAAAGAATGGGTGCAGGATTGTGTAGGCGTGCTGTCTATGTGAGTGGCCTGCCAGTGGCAGCATGCTGAACCTGCAGGCTTCGCATGCTGGCTATGTGCTTGGCATGCTCACTGGCTGTTTCGACACCTCCGTCACCACTGGCTGCTTTGCGCAATGGTCGTAGTTGTAAGAAGTTCAAGTTGTAAGCTGCGCACGTCGCCTCAACCGCCTCGGCCCGGCCGGCATCGGTGGGAAACAACGACACCCAGAGCTGTATGGAGTCACCATTGCATGTGCGGATGGCTCAGGGCTTCATGCAGGGCTTCCAGGATTACAAATGGTTACAGTGGAGAGAAAGAGATGCTTTGCTGATCGTACGGCGGACAGGGGAAATCAGGGACACATCCACAACCAGGGCGGATGGACAAGGCGAATGAAAAGCTAGGCGTCAAGGGACAGGCATCAATCACGTCCATTGGTCCATTGACACTAGAGTTCGTCCAGACAATGTGAAGAGATTCACGCAGCACAGCGGACCCAGATGCAATCTCAGGTTGGGTCGAGGTTTCGGTGGTCCTGTATCCCTGCCACGCTTGCGGGTTAATCCTGGCAGTAGCGTGGCTCGCAGTGGCCTGACACTTGCAAGGCCCAATCTACTGGAATGGCTGGAGGCGCGATACCCCGGAATTAACACATTCTGCGCCGGCTTGGTTTTTTGTTTCAGGTACCGGAGATGTGTGCCCTACGCATGCTTTCCAGGGAAGCCATCGATCTGCAGGCAGGGGTTTGTCGTGTCAGTGCGCTGGATCGCATTCCCCGATTCCAGGGGTGGCGTCACATGCCGACGCCTTGCACCAAGCTTTGGAAGAGTAGCGAGTGCCGGGCCGTGCAGGTCGTCGCTCGGCACGTGGTGGAGACCGGCGGCTTTGACAGGCCAGGCCACCAGCTCTGGCTTGGTAGGCAACATCTGTCCATCCTCCATTCCGACCCTACACAGCTCACACGTCCTGGCCTCCTCAATCGGCTTATTTGTCTGTTGTTGCAGGCCAGAAAGTGTGATCTTTCATAGCCAAGTTTTGGAAGATAAACATGCGGCGGCTGCACAGCGGAAACGATTCCAGTGCGACTCGGTTGCCGTAATGGGGCTAGTGGGGGAATGTTCTTTTTGGTTTATTCATTTGGAACCCTCAGAATCAGAAGCCTCCCATCGTGCGCTTTCAACCCGAGGCCAGTTGCTGCACCTGCGCTTTCAGTGTTGTTGGCGACACTGCCCAGGCTTGGCAGATGGTTTGATTGAAAAGCTAGCGGACTTTGGCCTATCAGAGGACCTCGCGGTGTGCAAGGCTGCGCATGCTCTACTCAAAGCTTACTCAGGATATCTGTTGCGGAAAGACCGGGTGCGGGAAGCGGTGCTGCGCTTGCTGGAGCAGCTGGTCCCAACATCGGGCACATTTTGGCTAAGAACCAAGCTGGCCCTAGCCTACGTTTTCCCGAGTAACAGCACACTCGTCCGCAGCGAATGGCAACACCGCCGACGCTGGGTTTCTGTGATTTTCAAAATTCTGTCGCAGCAGAACATCCAGAAGTGCAAGAAGTATTGCGCGGCATGCATCAGAGTCCTTTGTGCCGGAGGTTTCGTAGATTATTCCCGTGAGGAGCTGCAGGAGGCGGCAGCAATGTCGCCCGAAGCTGTGAGGGCCGAACTTTTGGAGCTGATGGAAAGACCACCCATTATCCAGAGCGGCTCAGCAGGATCTACAGGAGAGGGCCAAGTTTTTGGAGCAGTGCTTGCAAACTCGCAGTATAGGTAGTAGTAGTAGGGAGACCCCTTAAAGGGTACCCATTCTAACTTCTGGCTCTCGTAAAAGGGACCGTATTGAATTGAGAGGGTCTACATCCAAGGGTCCCCCCTAATGGCCCTAATCCTAACTCCCACAGTCACGGGCCGAGAACACCTTGGAATTAGGATTCCATGCCTGTCACTGTCCTTCCAGCGTCACATAGCATTGCCGCTAATGTTTTGGAGAGGACTATCGCCCGGGTGCTTGAGGCGATGATGATGGCGAGCCAGGGCTTGGATGAAGCGTGAGCAGGTGCCTGAAAACCAGGAATCTTAGACGCTCCAAGCGGTGGAGTTGGACCCAAAGTATCGACGGCTTTGCGTCATGGTTTCGTTCTCGAGAACTGGAAGAACTGCGATGTGTGCCCAAGACTCCACTCAAACTATTCGCCGTGGCTTGCCGAAAGCTGCAATGTCCGTGACAAGCTGTGCAGCTGCTTTGTTCTGGGGCCTCTGCCCGAAAGTGGCACTGTACATAGCCCACAATGAGCAAGCATACTGGCCCGGGCGCTCTGGGCCGCCGCAGCGTGCGAGTTGCGGATCGCAAGTGCGGATCTCTCTGCTGATCTCCTGGCATGAAGAGAAGCCGTAAGGCACCCTGGTACATCTTGTAGAACTGTACTTCACTTCATCCCATCCCCTTCAAGTACTTCTCAGTAACGAGGTTAAGTAAAATGATCGGGTTTTCTGGAACAGTACTCATGTAGCTTTCCAACCTTGCAACCTCACTAAACTTTTCGCCGCCGAGCCTTCAGCCCTGCTCTCAGTGCACGGTACTGCGAGAATGTCGGCAAATCGGCGAGGCTCGAGAAAACCAGAAAGGGTCAGCAAGCTGGAGCCGCTGTCGAGATCAGCGAACCTCGCAATTGGGTATGGGCGGTATGGGTATGATGTGTGCGTGGAGATCGAGTGGTGGCACACCGGTTCCAACAACCGACTGCGCGGCTCGAACGCGCTACAGAATGTGACACTTGCCGGCGCACGGCTTTCTCGTGTGAGTCCCTTTCGCATCTCTCGACGGTCGTATCCCCATCTTCGAACTCAGCATAGCACACGGCCCAATTATGGTTTGGGAGGGCTGGGACTACAAAGCAAAGCGCCCGAAGGTTTTGACGCCATCTCACTCGAAGGCGTGTACGGCTGCTTGCGCCCTCGTCGATCTTTGCAAATGTTTGCATAGTGTTTGGTACGTGAACAACAGGTTGGCCATGATGCCACGCTCGCCGGTAATTCGTGAGTTTCAGGGCTCGATGCGGCAGTCGGTTTGAGATTCCTCGTGAAAGACTCACTGCCCCAAGCCCCAAACTCTCATTTAGGCGATGGTGGTTGATCACATTTTAAGCGGGATCTGAAGCAGTTACCTTTGCAGTACTTCATTGATATTTATAATATTGGCAATATTGGAGTCTGCCTGAAGCCGAGAACCGCTTCATCCGAAGGCTCGCGCCCTTATGCAGGTGATGCACTAGATTTGGACTTAATAGCTTAGATGGAGCACAGCCGAATGCAAGCGTAGTTTTCGGCCTCATGGGGAGCGTGTTCTCCTACGACGAGGGGGCACGGCTGGCAAGTTGATGTCGGATGTGGGTTTCAAAGGGCACATGATCAGATTGGCAGGAGCAGGCGGCACAGGGGTCACAGCCTGTCCTCGCCTTATCTTTGCTGTCCCTGTTGCCTGCCAGCACCTCATAGTGTTCTGAAACTTGATAGCTTTTTCCTGCAGCTGGAGGAGGAGAAGCCTGCCGCCGACTTAGACTGGAGGTTGGGTGACACTTCCGCCTGCAATGCTGTGCAGCATGAGGAATGCCTCGAAACAACCACGACAGCCGCCGCCTCATCAAGCTAGGGTTAGATATGCCATACAGGAATCAAGCAGTCGAAACCATGCCCGTGCACGTCCTCAACCACTTACAGCCTTTTTTGCCCAACAACTCATGCCATGGGCCATCACCCTTATGTAGATGAGCAAAAGCTTGGGATTGTCACGGGGTGTTTTGCAGTCTCATGTGAGGGGCGTGGAAAACGTATAAGTTAGCAGGAGCTGCGGGCCGTTGAGGACACCTGGTGCCTGTTGTCCATGTTTCTCAGTCGTACTAGCACGACACGAGTACCACTACAACTAGCAAGTACACGGGGGTCACTTTATCTCGCATCGCTCGGTTTTTTGTATACATCGAACACCGTCCACACCCGAGGGAGTGTTGTTCTCAGCCCACATCCGATGTTGTAGCGGCGTTGGTTTTGTCATTGACCCTTTGCA